AAGCGCAGCTACATATGGGGGTACACCAGCTGTGCGTAGGCCTATAAGGATAGCTTAACCTTCTGTGAATCAATTCGGAACCCTTGTCTCGTGTTGGTCAACATACCTCTCAAGTAAACTTGACCTACCCACCATATCTTGGGTATGTAATTATATAGTTAGATCTATTATTATATTGATCTGCTTATATGTATGTAAGATAAGTTTGGAGAGTTTGGAGTAGTTATTATATAAGGATGTAAATGGTTGACGGTTTAAAATCTAAGCCGGCTCAATGATATAATAGACTTGTATAGAGATTGGATAACAGGTAGTTTATGTAACCTAGGCAATTTGGTTACTCCTCTTTCGACTTCAACGGAGCAATAATAAGACAGGATCACCCACTTGTGAACTACATACATAATAGCAGTGTAACAGACCGCATGCACATGCTAATATAAAGCCGAGACTCTCCCCTCCTATATGTACTTATGCCATGCTAACCTCTAGACTGCCGGAAGAAAACATGTTCGGCATGTTTAAATCGAAGCGCAGGAAGACGATAAACAATCAAGTGACCTATCATATCGTATTGAAGATGTGATGCAACACCAAGGAGACACAAGGGTATCATCTAAGAAGATGTCTCTGCTTGATCGAGGACTAGGGAGTATTATTCAACCACCAAGCTAGGCAAGCAGAAGAACGCAAAGATAGATGGCTGCTCGTCTAATCGCAACCATCAGCCTAGGGCGTAACACCATAAAGGCAACTTATTGAAGGATAGGGAATGTCTTATTTTTGTCTAGCCTACCACCTTCATTCAGTATTGGTGGGGAATAAGAATCTGCATAGTAAAACATTGGAGGCGAAGGTTGTCGTCATCCAGTAGTACGACTGGTGATGAGAAGGACATATTATTGTAGGTTAGTAGGGAATGCAGTTGGAGGTGTTGAATTAATCAGATAAAAATATGGAAACTTATGCGAGTACTTTTGAATCTTTATCATTCTGGCCTTGGCTTCCCAAGAGGGTAGGATCTCGTGATTCATTTTAAGCAATGCCAGTAGCCATAAGTAGCAGTATCCCACTATCCTGCAGAGTCAAGGGGTGATTGGCTGCTTGGGATTGGGAATAGCTTCAATTCGACAATATATTGCAATTTCATGAGAAAGATTTGCCTGATCTTGGTTACTATCAGACGGAAAGCTGCATAATGGATGGATGGAACGTCATATCTTTGAGACAAAGGGTGGATATTCTCTTTCACAAGCTAAATTAGCGAGCCATGGCGGTAACAACTTGTGCCATTTGAACTGTTAAGGTTGTGCTAAGCTTGTTAGCTCAGAGCGGGTTGGCTTTGTGGCTGCTGTAATGCAGAAAAGCTGTCCAAAAAAGGTAATAGCGTGATAATCGGGGTCCTATTCTTTCGTGGGTAGCGGTTTTACGTATGTCAACTTGCACTTGTTTCATCCATTATTAACAGCTTTAGCCTTTAAGAAAAGACGGTCTGCATATATGTACCTATGTATCATTTAGCACCTACATAAGGTATTATTGAAGTAGGTATATACTACCTAGGTAGGTAGGTATTGTATATACCTACATGTACCTGGTCGTGTATAAGCTTTATCAGCAACAAATCAGTACAGGTTATATCTCAAGATTCATTTTATTTAGCTATTCTAATATAGTCAATAAAGCTGCATGAAGTTAATTTTGTAAATGTTTTGCATGTTTTATCAGGCTTCCATTTATGTTATTAACATTTGTGTACATATTGCATATAAAAACAAGATCCTAATGTTAAAGCGCATGAAGGTGTGCAATTTGAGGTACAATGCAAGTATAATTAGTTGCTATCAAAAGTACCTAGATAAGCCTCAAGGCAGATCGGATACTTTTCAGGTACTTAGATAGGTACCCACAGAGCGAAAGCTCGGGCAAGCTTTCCAGCCGAAACCTTCCGGTCCCAGCTCCATGACAGCCATAACAGCAATGAGTAACCCCTATGAGATGAGATTAAGAAAGAAGCAGAAAAAGATTAACCTTACCCCCATCAAAACCCACCAACCGCGCCTGCGCCATTCCTTCTCTGTACGCAACCACACAGCGCGACCCGGCCCACCTGCAGCAGAGGCGGCAATAGCGCAGCAGTCGCTATCGACGTAAAGGTAAAAAAGGGTAGGAAGTCAGCAACTGGAGCAACTGGGGGGGGGAAGGAACAAGGGTTGCCCAATGTCGGGACTTATCAAAACCTCTGCTACGCAACAACCTTTTTGAGCCTTTTGGTGCAACTGCAACTTCGTAAACATTACCCCAGTAATAAACTTCTTTAACTTCACCTCTCCCTCTACCACAACACACATTCCGGTCAAGATCGACCTTCTCCTCATCGTCCCGTTCCGTCGATGCATGCAATCTGGCACTATTTTCGCCGCGTCGACCTGGACGAGATTATCCGCCTGCCTTAGTCTCTCACGAGGATACATCACAGGACCATCTCCGGAGAGCAGGCTTATTATTTGGACCTGACAACCAGTACTGACCGTACCCTACCGCCCAGGTTTAGATAATTCGAGCAGCCTGAAACTGATAGCACCTGCTTATTAGCATCATCTCTTTTTGTTCCTCGTATCGTCGACTGAGTCTAAATCAATCACATCCCGATTTCTAGCTCTACCCATAGCAATGGGGGCCTGCCAATCATGCTGCGGAGGTAACACAAGTCCATTCTCCTATCAAGAAGACCCTTTCGAGAAGACCCTTTCAAGTGCTAAACACCATACAGGCAAATCTCGCGATGGTCTCTACGAGCCAGTATTGGCTGATAGCGAACGAGAAGCTGTCGCGGATTTACTCCAATACCTCGAGAACGTGTGTTACGACCGACCAATCCTTATACTGCTCAAAGCTAACTTTTTATCCTAGCGCGGCGAGACGGATTTTTTTTCGGGCGAGCCTCTTCGAGCCCTGAGCACCCTCGTATTTTCCGACAATATCGATCTTCAAAGGAGTGCAAGCTTAACGTTTGCCGAGATCACGGAGCGAGGTACGTAATGTAATATTCTTAGCGCCCTGACAAAAGAGGCGCTGTATTACAGAGCTGTCGAGTGATATGGCCCTACCGCTCTGGTCTTTACTGAATTATGAGCTGTGGCTGACCGCTCCCTAGATGTTCGTGAGGTCGACCGCGATACGCTAGAACCCATCCTTTTCCTACTTCAGAGTCCCGATATTGAAGTACAAAGAGCAGCCAGTGCTGCGTTAGGGAACCTTGCCGTTAATAGTAAGCAAGACTCCGCGCCGTTATTTATCTTCTTGTCTTACCAAGCTACGCAGCCGAGAACAAAGTCTTGATTGTCCAACTAGGCGGCTTAACTCCGCTTATACGTCAGATGCTTTCTCCCAACGTCGAAGTACAATGCAATGCCGTAGGATGCATTACCAATTTGGCTACCCACGAGGAAAACAAGGCAAAGATTGCACGATCAGGTGCCTTAGGTCCACTTACTCGACTGGCTAAGTCAAGAGACATGAGGGTTCAACGGAACGCAACTGGTGCCCTTCTCAACATGACACATTCAGGTACGTGTTTAGCTCTTAGCAACTGATTTGTTGGATTTTTCTAATAGTATTTACATAGATGAGAACCGACAACAACTCGTGAATGCAGGCGCCATCCCCGTACTAGTCCAACTCCTGTCGTCTCCCGATGTCGATGTTCAATATTATTGCACGACAGCGCTTAGCAACATTGCCGTCGACGGCAACAACCGCCGGAAGTTAGCTGCGTCGGAGACCAAACTTGTCCAGTCCCTCGTTAACTTAATGGACTCCTCCTCTCCCAAGGTGCAATGCCAAGCCGCATTAGCACTTCGAAACCTCGCCTCGGACGAGAAATATCAGCTAGATATCGTCCGAGCGCAAGGTCTTAACCCGCTGCTACGTTTGCTTCAGTCCTCTTACCTACCTCTAATCCTCTCCGCGGTCGCTTGCATACGTAACATATCCATCCACCCCTTAAACGAGTCTCCTATTATCGAAGCTGGATTCCTGAAGCCCCTAGTCGACCTTCTGGGTTCTACCGATAACGAGGAAATCCAGTGCCATGCCATATCGACCCTCCGAAACCTTGCCGCGAGTTCTGATCGTAACAAAGCGCTGGTCCTTGATGCTGGTGCGGTACAGAAATGCAAGCAGCTTGTCTTGGACGTGCCGGTGACCGTCCAGTCGGAAATGACGGCCGCGATCGCAGTCCTTGCGCTATCTGATGACCTTAAAACACACTTGTTAAATCTCGGCGTGTTCGACGTGCTTATACCTCTGACGCACTCGCCAAGCATTGAAGTTCAAGGCAATAGCGCCGCAGCCCTCGGCAACTTGTCCTCAAAGGGTAAGTCTCAATTCTAATTTTATTGATCATCCAGTTATTAATATGACGTAGTTGGCGATTATTCCATCTTTATCCAGGACTGGACAGAACCAAACGGTGGCATTCACGGTTACTTGAGTAGGTTCCTGGCCAGCGGCGATGCCACGTTTCAGCACATTGCTATTTGGACTCTCCTCCAATTGTTGGAATCTGAAGATAAGACCTTGATTTCACATATTGGGAAGTCGGATACAATTGTGGAGATGATTAAACAAATCGCGAACCGACAACCCGAGTCAGATAACGAATACGAGGAAGATGACGAGGGCGAGGTGATCAACCTTGCGCAGCGCTGCCTGGAGCTGCTTGGCCAGAGTATGTCGAAGGCGCACATAGAAGGATGAAGTAACAGACTACCGCACTTCTTTTTTGTTTTAATTATCGATACTGTCAGACTCCCTGTTCAAGCGGGCATTCACACGGATGTGGTTGGTTCCCGGTGTTTGAGGCGTATGTTATATAAGCATGCATGTGTATTTCGTCAACGATAAGGCTGCTTCGATATTTTATTAGGAACGCATATTCTCATTGGGTGGGTTGAGTCGTGGGTGGGTGTATTGCTGGTCGCATTTGCCCCAGAAGCTAGCTTAGTGGAAGACACTCGATCTCATTTGTACGCGGCGGCGTAGCCGGTTGAAAAGATGACTACTTGACCAACCACTCCTAGTAAGTCATGAGCTACTCTTGTGAGCCTTATGCGCGGAGTTAAACTCTTGTAATTAGATTGCCCTTCCTCATCAAAAATGATATCCGGTAAACAATGCTTCCGAGACGCCTCCATGCCATGCAAATTGTAATACAATAGCTATACTCGTAGCCGGGATGAGAGCGGTCATGCTTTAGGCAAATCCGATACAGGTTGAAGGCCGCTTTCGACCTTCGTGAACCAATTAAACGGCCACCAACCGTTCACGACCACTTTGGCAACCACTTTACCCTTGATGAGACCCATAGGAATGGGGCCATAGTCGCGACTATCCCTAGACCAGGGGAGGTTATCTCCGACTATGTAGCAATGGCCTTTAGGTATCTGAAGTAGAACTTGGTCAATCTTATATCCTATACTTATATCCTCACATTTCCTCACAAGCGCATAAGACCCGAGCAGAGTAACTAAGTAAATAAAGTAAAGCAACCAGTTACTCATACCTGTATCATAGTATCAGCGCCGACGCCGGGCGAATTCAACAGCACGTAGTCCCCCGGCAGGCCCAGGACGCGCTTGATGCCCTCCTCGCCGGGCTCGACGGGGATGCTGTAGACGACGCAGTCGCCGACGCGCAGGCGGCGGCCCCGGCGGTGGGATCGGTCGGTTACGAACCACTCGTTCATGGACAGGAAGGTCGGAAGCATGGACGGGCCCCAGCCGTAGCCCGTGCTGTATCCGTAGGTCACGAGCAGGTGGCCCAGGGCTAGGGCCTTGGTCGTGTAGAGGAGCACGCGGAAGGGGTGGCCTAGGATGGAGGGCATTGTGGCGTGGTGGTTGGAGGGTGTGGGTGGTGTTGCCTTTCGGCTTTTACATATGTGAGGGTAGGTACCTAGGTAGGTAGACAGGTAAGTGGGTGGGATATGGTGCTTTTACGAAGGATGATGTGGTGGGTTGGTGGGTTGCATGGTTTTGTAGGGTTTGTATAGGGAGGTATGAGGATTTAAAAGAATTGGTTAACTAAGTCTATGTTAGTTAGGTGTGGGTGTATATTGTATAAGGCGATGAGTATAAGCTGATAGATTCAACATGAGTGAGGTTTATACGATCAATTTCAATGAATGAATGAATGGTTGTAAGGTAATCCGTACATGTGGTGTGTAGGTAGTATATGTATTAAGCCGGTGCTTAAGCTTTAGGCAGTCTTGGCGCGGAGCTACATACATTAGGTACCTATGTATGTACATCATAAGCCGCCGGCGGGAAAGCATGACATGATTGGCTGTTGAGTGCCAGCCCTAGACGGTACATAGTACCTAGAAGTGGGATGTGCTTGTAGTTCCAAACTCGATTTCTTGCTTCAATTCTTGCTGCAAAACAATTTCAACTCTGCAAGGCGTTATCCTAAAGCGCGGCAGCACCGCTCTATAGATGCCAATCCTACCGTTCCAATTGCATTCTGTAGAGCCATAAAACGGAAAACACTGGTCAAAATGGCACAACCACGCTGTCTCGCCGGTTCCTCTCCCGCACGAGCTCTACACGGAGTCCTCGTCTCAGACCTTCTCAGTCGTAGCAGGACAACCTCCCTCACGCTACGCACAACATCTTCCTACCTCCTTCCGCCACGGCTATTCTCCTCTAGCCACTTGATTACAAAAACCAATGCCACAGCCCTACCACCACCACCACCACCACCACCCATACCGCGACACGCCCGCGCGCTCTCCACAACCTCTGTCCTCCGCCGCATCGACCTAGACCAAAAGCGGCCAACCAACGGCAACATCCCATACGACTACGTGCGCATACCCGGGCCACCCCCCGACAACGCGCTCTCCCCCGCGCAGCCCATCCGCTCCGTCCTCGCCTCCTTCAACCCCAAAACCCACACCCTAGTCATGGTCGCCCCGCCCCTCTCCACCGCCGAGCCCGACACCCCCGAGGCCGACGCCGCCATATGCCGCATCGTCGACAACGCCGCGGCCAAAGCCGCCGCGCAGGAAGCCGAGCAGCGCGCGCGCCGCAAGGCCGTCGACACCAAGGAGCTCGAGATCTCCTGGGGCATCTCCGCGCACGACCTGGGCCACAAGCTGCGCCGCCTGCGCCAGTTTCTCGGCCTGGGCCTCAACGTGGAGGTCATCCTCGCCAAGAAGCGCCACGCGAAGCCCGTTTCGGCCGACGCCGCCGACGCCGTCCTCGAAGCGGTGCGCGGGGTGCTGGCGCTGGTCGACGGCGCGAAGGAGACGAGGAAGATGGATGGGAAGGTGGGGGAGGTGGTGAGGTTGTATTTTGAGGGGCCGAGCGAGAAGAAGAGGCGGAAGAAGAAGGAGTTGGAGCAAAAGGAGGAGGAGGAGGAGGAGAGCGAATAGAGTTGTGTTGGCTTGATGGGAGTTTTAGATGCTACGACTAGTGGTGTATTAGATACGGAGAGTGAACTCTGTAGCGATGGCTGGACTATAGAATCGGCGCGCAATGAGCTGCTTAGCTTGGCAAAGATACCTACGAAGCATCTAGCGCGCCGCCAGCAGAAATGTGAACCCAAGATTGGTTTATATGGCTCGACGGATGTAGATCACTATGAGAGAAAATACGACCTAAAAGGGGCCATGTATAGTAAAACCAAATACCATACTCTGCAGTCACAAGTACTGATATTGCGACTTGATATAAAGCTAGTAAAAATATTTTACTATTGGGGTATTACAAAAAAATGCTTTCAAAGCAGGTATATCCCGGATATATTTCCAAAACGCCGCCGATGCCATGATCTTACCGGCCATCTTTCCTATCTATTCTCACACCTGAATATATCTAGCGCTTGCGTAGTCAAAGCCTAATAAATATCCTCATTTCATCGTCAACGGGTAATGCGGGCTTCTTAATCTCTCATCACGAAGAAGCACGCGCCCAGGACGCTGAACGCAATCGCACTCGTCACGAAGCCAGCCGCTACCTTTTCTCCTGTTGAGATCGGCGTCATACTCGGCATGTATGCCTCCACCGGCCGCCCAGCATCGGGATTGCCGACAGATGTTCCACCCGTAGTTGCAGTTAACGGTGCCGGCGTCTGCTTCTTGACTAACGTATATTGTATGGCAGACAGCGCACTCATTTGCTCGCCGACGCCGGCAAGGCCGTCGAAATTATCCTTTTCCGTCCACTTGAAGCCGCACGCTGTACCAGCCGGGCCCTTATACAGGTCAGCTGCCGGCGAGCCGGAACACTGCTGCGCTGCTGCCGCCGCGTTGGTTTTAAGTAATGGCATTAGCGTATCAAAGGTAAAAGGTGCCATCTGCGACGCCGAAGCCATCCATCGCATAAGGTAGCCCTTGAAACTTTGCTGGTCGTAGTCGCAAGAGTTGAAGCCCTCGCACGGCCGCTCGACCACGATATTATCATCGAAGAAATATGCGTTTGTCCTGTTCACTAGACCCACTACTCGCTGCTTCCAGTTATCCTGACCCTCTGTGAAATTGTACCTGTAGATAGCAATGCTTGGTTAGCCTGGTTTACTGACGGGGACGGGGATGGGATGGGGATGGGGATTTTCTAACATCATGGCTGCTCCCTGTAGGAGGATACCTGCGTTGTAGGTCCATTGCGCTTTGTTAAGATCGACACAACCTGTATCAGCGCCTGCTCCGTCGTAAACGTTAAAGTCGGCGTCGATGAATTGAACGTCCGACATCCAATCCCAGACTTTCTCGGCCCAGTCGCCGTACGTTTGATTCCCTGTATATCTAGCCAGTCGAGAAGCGATATTAAAAAAGCAGCCGTTGGATATAGAGTTCTTGTAGTTATATCCATTGTTGAACGTAAACACCTGCCACCGCAAACCACCACCGCAAGTATCGGTATCCCATCGAGTTATATACTCGTTGAAGACAGCTTGAACTAGTGCTAACCACTGTGGCTGATCTTCCGGCGGGTTCGGAAAGTTGTTCTCGGCAGCGCTCATGGCGGCCATAGCCCAAAATCCTTGATCGTCGTTTCCTAGTGACCTTGTCTGATTCTGGGGCATGTAATCGCTATCTTCACCTGCTTGGTGCTGTAGGGCTTGCGTTGTTATAGCATTGTACGTTTCGTCGCCAGTATAAAACCAATAGTCAACTAGCGTACCAAACATAGCTCCCGCTTCCCACCCTAATATCTTATAAGTAACGATTTTGCTAGAGGGAATGGGGTTACGTACAGAAATACGGGTCTGGTAAGTTACCAGGAGTATCGCCTGTGTTATTTCCCGTATAGTACTTCACCAACCCGAAAGCAACGGTACTTGCTGCATCTTTTATAGAATCTAATAGGTGTTAGCTATGTATGAAAATATTACCATTAATCACGTACCATCGCTATTCCAGTCGACTTGTAAGGCTCTGGTTGCACCTGTCAGCAGGCTTATGAAGCCTGCTACGCGTAGTGACAATTGCATTATGAGATAAATATAAATATAGTCGAAGAAAGGAAGGTGATGGATCTTGCCCACGAAAGGTCTAGCTTTCGAGCTGAAATGGAATCGTATCTCCTCAAGATGACCGCATGTCCTCGAAAGAGTTATGAGTCGAGGAGTAAAGGCCTTAACTGTGACCTCGAGTATCGGTATCCAAATCGTTATCACTACTCTCAATACTCTCAATAGACTAAACCTCCGAGCAGCCACCCAAAATCCACACGCTAGGAAATCAGTCGCTAGGACGAAACGAAAGCAAGATAAAAAGGCTCGGCCGGTAGCGAGGACGAAAAGAAGGTATGAAAGGAAATAGTAAAGAAGGAATCGCACGGCGAAACGAAACGAAAAAAAGAGACTTCGATCTGGAAGCCAATATGAAGAGAAGTGAATAGTTGAAGACGAGAAAAGACACGAGCTCCTGAGAGCAAGTTTAGGAAGACAAGGTGGGCCAGTCCATAACGGATTGCCCCTGTCAGACGGGATTCGCAAACATAGAAAGGGAATGCGTCAATCATATTGGATCGTCTAAAGCTCAGTCCCTACCTAATTATTCTGTGTGCGTGCAGTTCCATCTCTACCCGTGAGGCTATGTCAGATGAATCGACATGCTGAAACCGTTCAGGTTGGATCTATGCGGCGCGTGTCTCAAAGGAGAAGAGGCCGGGGTATGAGGGTGCATATGGCATGAGACTGTTTCTACAATATCATTGCAAATCATATTAGTTCGTAGATCATTGTATCGATGAACGTGCGTGCGGTGGCTCAGGACGATGTAGTTTATTGGTTTCGCTTGTCTTCCCCGTAGGAATTAAAACATGTCCATCTTGAAGTTGAAGAAGTTGAAGAAGTTTAAGTTAAAGTAACCGAATAAAGTTGTGGGGAAGCCTACCCCCTGTATCAAGGGCCTAGCTGAACTTACGTAGGTCAGGTACGATACGAAGTACCTACCTAAACAGGGTATTACTAAAACGCTGCTGTCCCGGTATCACAATACCCGTTCGTAGCTTCTTACATTTCAGTATGGCTTACATTGGCGCTTTCTGTTGTAAATTCGATTAGGGGCTTTCCTCATATTTCTTTTTTACCGAGCTGTCCTAACCCATCAGCAGCCAGCACCAACTACTTACAACTACGAAATATTCAAACACGACAGACAGTTCAAATAAACTCGCCATACTCGAGGAACCAAACAAAGAGTTGTATGCAAAGTCAAATTACCTGAGACGCACATCCGGCGTTCTATCAGGTCTTGATATCTATTGACGGTCTAAAAAGAAATATTTTTTGGTATCGAAATCCCGAGTGCACTTGACGGCAACTCGCCGTCCATCATAACCGCCCACCGCTCACTGTGAGAATCCTGACCCCTATTCTTTTTCATTCACTTCCGCGCTGCAAAGATAATCATATTAGAAAATGTCACTTCATCCAAAACTTGCTCAAGCTTTCCGCTTCTTAGATGGGGGTTGGGCACCGTTAGCTTTGGGTTTCTCATCGTCGTCATCTTCCATGTCCTCGTCCTCGTCATCATCCTCGAAGTCGGCCTCCTGGGCTTGGGCTTCGAAACGCGTCAGCAACTCTCACTTTTTATCCTATTATTAGCATGAGACTTACCAAAGTACTTGATGGCGTTGACCCAAAGGTCGTCGCTGATGGCAAGCGCCACTTCTTCGCCTTCCGGGAAGATTTCGAGGGACAAGGGGTCCTCCTCGTCATCCTCGTCGTCGTCTTCTTCCTCCTCAGTCGTGAGTTCAGTGGTCTTTCCTGCAGCCCTTTCGGCCTTCCTCTTCTTCTCTTCCTCGATAGAAAGGCGGCTCTCTTCAGCAGAGATGTTCAGACCTCGGTATCCGAAAAAGCCGAAGAAAGAAACTGCACCTAGGCCGGTAGCCTCGATCTTCTTCTTCAAGGCCTTCTCGTCGGGAGTGTAGTCCTTCTCCTTCTTTAACTTGGTGCTGTCGGTAACAGGATTCTTCTTGTCATTCTCCCAGACCTTCATGACTAGGTCAAGCATTCCCTGGGTGAGATCCTTGTCCGGCGACTTCCACTTAATGGGGACTGGGTCGCTGACGAGGCCCTCCTCACCATCCTTACCGACACGGTAGTAGAACTTCTTCTCGAGGACCTTGTCTTCGAACCATTCGTTCTCACCAAACTCCATCTTGATAGAAATGCTGCGGGGATCTCCATTGCCGCCATTTTCGATCTCGAAGTGAGACACCGAGATTGAAGTCAGCGCGGACAAGAGCACGGCAGAGTCGCTAGGTTGGATATATTGGTCTAGATCAGGCGGTGCCTGCTCAAAGACCAGCGGCCAAAAGTTGGCGATCTTCTTAACCAGCGCTTCTCTCTTCTCATATAGGGACTTGGTAAGAGCAACCTGTTGGCGAACTAATCAACATGTAAGTATGAATTTACTTTTCTTGCATTCACCGGCCCAAGTCCTTGTTTATATACGCTATGACCTGGCATGATGAAGCGGGCTCAAATAATCGAATTTGAGTCTGAGTGTGAGAAGTACTTACTTATTTCTGTTTCGACATCTTCAAAGTCCTTGTCCAAATCCAGCAACTCCTCGTAGGTGGCAATGGTCCAGTCGACCTGTTCTGACGTTGTCATGGCTGAAGTAATTCAGGTTGGTAGTGTTTGAAAATTGAGATATCTTGAAAAAGTACAAGTCAGGCTCGCACCAGGATATTTTATATGCAAAAATACTAGGTTGCCTACCTAGGCTACTCGTGCTAGGTATGTGAAAAAAAAAATTCTCGTCGATCCGGTCATTGGTCAACGGCTGCTAGCGAATGGACGGGTTGTCACAGTCAGGGCAGTGATGAAGTGGAGTTTTTTTTTTCTCTGTAGAAGTCTTGGCAAGGGTCTACTTTCTACCTAGGTACTCACTCATCCATCCTAATAAGGAAAAGATATTTTCAATAAGTTAAGACTTCATACATCTGATGATGCATTAAATAAGACACAGTGAAAGAAATAAACCCGATAAAAATTTACTTAGACATACTATCGCCAGAACAAGTTTAAGAAATATATTAACGCTTCAAAGAAAAATAGGCCAACATTCCCGACCCAAGGTTTTGAAGTCGATCTACCGTCCACCCAGATAGACAGATAGATTGGGTATGTGTAAAAGCAACAAGAAAAGAAAATGCAGGTCCCGACAGACTAAACTAACCTAGACCGTTACAGAAGGTGGGGGGGGGGGGGGGGGCAAACTCAGATTTCCATGGGATGGGGGGATAATCCCATCTAATCGGGGCGGTCGGGGCGGTCGTACCTGGCAGAAAAATAATTATTATCGCTCTTCTCCAATCGTTATCAGTTCGCAAGTACAACCAGCTAACCTACATGTAGCTCTACATGTGCCCGTCGCATCTCGATAGACATCGTCGCTCTAGGTTAGGTACCATACCATACCATACCATACCATACCTCTTACTTAGTCTGTCACTTCTACACCGCGCGCTATGAACGGCCTTCCTGGAGCTGGAGCCGGCGCTGCCGGAGGCGTCGACCCGAATGATCCTAATATTAAGAGGGTTCGTCTGCTTGCTCTTCCGGGTTGCTTGCGCGAGAGGTGGCGATCGCTAACTTGTTTGTGCGCGGCTAGTTAAACGCCATGATGGAGTCGTGCTTCGGCAAGGCTGCCGTTTCCGGCGTTATGGGATTTGGTATGGGCGGTCTGTTTGGAATGTTCATGGCTTCTGTACGTAGCATCTCCTCCCTCCTCCCTCCCTCCATCCCTCCATCCCTCCATCCCTCCACAGCTACATACATATCTGCAGACCACACCCCCAACTAACCCGCGCCCCTTCCCACAGATGGCCTACGACACGCCCTTCCACTCGCCCGGCGCCGCGGGCGCCGCGCCGATCCCCATCGCCAACCTGCCCTGGCGGCAGCAGCTCAAAGTCGGGTTCCGAGACATGGGGTCGCGGTCCTACAGCACGGCCAAGAACTTCGGGCTGGTGGGCCTGATGTTCGCCGGCATCGAGTGCGGCATCGAGGGGTACCGCGCCAAGAACGACATGTACAACGGCGCCGCCGCCGGGTGCCTGACCGGCGGCATCCTGGCGCGCGGCGGCGGGCCGACGGCCGTCGCCGGCGGGTGCGCTGCCTTCGCCGCGTTTAGCGCTGCTATCGATGCGTGGTTGAGGTCGCCTAAGGACGATGAATAAATACCTACTTAGGATGTCGTTACGTACCTACATACGCGGGAAATATGGGGAAATGAAAAATGGGGTGTTGTGTTGTGCTGTGTACTGTAGTGTAGTGTAATTGTGGAAATCGGTTCGTGGTATGGCGTTGGGTCAGGTGCATACCTACATAGGATTCACGGCGTTATGGTTTCCGCGCATCTATCTATACATGGTATATACATGGTAGAAAGGGGGGGCATATATTCTCCACTTAGGGTCTTGAAATGTACAGAAGATATGAGGGATGGAGTGGTTGCTGATACCGCTTGATGAAGGATGAGCTGTAGCCGTTCATGATAGAGTACCTAAATGTCAATAACGATCGTCATCAGCTTATCGATCTTGGCGGATGTTTTGATCTACGGCAAACCCTGTGTTAATCCTATCTACATCTTCATGGTATCTCCGATTCGAAATATGTTCTGATCCTCAGCAGCCACCCATCTAAACGCATGAACTCCAAACTATAGTTATAACGGCCTCTAACGGGCCACTGCGAACTTGATTCAAATGCCGATATCAAATTCACCGTTTCATCGTACGAACAAGGAGGCTCGTAGTGACGAGAGAGAAGTTTGAGAATCTCGGTTGCGTCAAATTATATATTACCGGCTTTTGTTGCAAGCCAAATAAATATAGCAAGCCTATTTGATATGCCATAATGACAATGCCATATAGGTTTATTTCTCCTTCGCGTAGAATGCCTCCCATAAACCATGTCCCTGCACAGTATAAAAACATCCATAAGCCTCTATACCCACCGTACCCCACCCGTCATGACTTTGCTTCATCAGTCCTAATCATGTGTCCCGTCTGAAACAATCATCAAATAACCGCCAACTCCAAAAGGTACTATCCATTAAATCGTGTGAACTTTCGACTAAGCAGCCTTGTAAACCTCGAATTTGCCGAATTCCCAAAATGCATCGGTGAAGGCTTCGGGGTTGTTAGCAACATAGTCGGTGCAGTTGCTCGGGCCTGTAAATAGTTAGTCGTCGAATCTTTAATTTACACCTTGTACGGTAAGAGAAGATAACTTACAGCCGCTCGAAGCGTACACAGCGCCGGCATACTGTCCGCAGAGATCGATGTTGGCAATGATACTCTGGTTCTTAAAGTGCGAGCTGATGTCACAGTTTGTGTTCGGGAAGTCCGCAGAGGCTGAGCCCCAGCTGCTCGGATCCGGGTTCTTGGCGGCGATATCGGTAGGGATGTTACTCCTGCCGAACTGCCACACCCGGATACCCTCGTTACGCCACTCCATCGCGATGATACCGCCCTGTCCGTCGTTATACGCGCTGCCGTAAGTAGCGGCGTTGCCTTTAACTCCGCAGCCGGCGTTGTTATCGGTGGCATTGTGGCAATCATTCGAAAGACTCGAGTCGCTCATTATACGCTTCACGTCCATCGAGCAACCATCTGTCGTGTGCAGCGTCATTTGATTGCCATCGGTGGCTTTGTTAACAGCCTCCATCACGTCGATCTCGCCGTGGTCCGGCCAGTTCACGGGGTCGGTGAGCCACAAGGCGGGCCAGGTTCCGCATCCGAACGGCGTGTGCTTTACATCGAAAATAAAAAGGCCGTCCTCATACTGCGCTTGAGACTCGAGTCGCACGGAGAAGCGGCCCGTTGATGCATCAGGTGTAGACTGGGGACCGACGCTGGTATCAACTCTTATGATGGCTGAATCCTCAGAAGCAGAAGTGAGGTTCTTAAACAGGTAATTATTAGCGTGGGGTTGGAATGCCGAGAAAAAGTAAGCACTTACCAATTGCTTAGCCTGGGCTTCGGGGACATAATGAACGAATCCCTGTGCCGGATCGTATCCTGTGAAATAATTGAACCTGTCAAAGAATGTCGTCCCGGAGTCTGAGAATCTTGTCAGTCGGGTTCTATACAAATGCAAATACGGAATTCGACTGAGTAGCTTACATTCATCTGCCAAGGAGTAGTTCAGTTTGGTATAATTCGGGTATCGATTTGCCTTGGCGACCTCAACCGGAGTGACTACGGCGATGATGATAACGATAATAAAAGCTACCACAACAATGGCCCAAGTTCTTTTCCTCCAAGACCTTGGATTCCACCAAGGTAAAGCTGGTTGACTACGCATATTCCGTCGCGGGTGATCCTGTAGTTCTGTCGAATAGTAGGGTGATGGTCCAGTTACCATTTCAACGGGGCCGTTGGTATCTCTAACGTGAAATGAAGCAGGACCAGCCTTAGGCTGAGCGGGCGTGTTCTCCCAACCCATATTTGTAGTCAAAAATTTACTTGGCCTGCAAGATAAGCTCGTGAAGAAGGTTAAGAAGGTTACGGCGAACTTCGCTTAGTGGCCGTCCGACGCCGAATGTTGTTGCGTGCTGCGCCGCCGCAGTGCTTAAAAGAATGCGAGAGTTCTAGCCGCGGCTGTTAGGATTATACTGGTTAGGAGATGGTTGGTATGGAAGGTTAGTAGCGTTGCTTGATGTGGCGTATAAAGTTGTTAATGGTGGATGTATATTTTAGAATTGTTTTACTGAATTGACATGATAAAGACAAATGCTGCCACAACGATGCAGCAATGTAGCAATAGCTTAACACCCACCAATGGAGTGGTTGCATATATCGTACCACAAAATGAAAGACTGGAGAAGAAGAAAAAGTCTGACGCGTTGGAAGTTCCACGATGAAGCCGGTCTACCTTCCGATCCCAATGGGTTGCTACATGTTGCTACATGTTGCTACGTATTGCTACGTTAGGTACCTACACATTGCTACGTAGGTTGTGCCAAGGTTCAATCCGACATATCGCACTACCCCTCGCTACTTTCCACGCCAAAGAATCCGGTTGCCTGGTGCCTTCTCAATTAGTACATTTTGTACCTGGAGTCCCTGGAGTTGCGGGCCCTTTCGCACTTGTTTCACAGCAATCTGATCCACGCTACGATCGAGCACAGCCCCCCGATGACGTGCAAGTAACCTAATCGAATACCTAGACTGTTTCGGTATTGTACAATACAATTCTGCGAAGCTACAGCGAATCAAAAACAATGTGCCAAGATACCTAGGACCTGCGTTCTAGATCGTTTACTCTGTTGTCCGTTTTAATGTTTTAATTATAGTTTTTAATAGTATAAATCGGCTAGTTAATTGTTCAAAGCATCAAGTAATTCAGCCTTATAGATATAGTTACGCATCGTTAATAATGATCGCTTTAGAAGTGACAACGTTTAAAATTCCTTCCTTTAGTTAATAATGTATAGCTATCCATCATAAGTTGGCTCCTATAATAACCTGCTATATATACTTACCTCTTATAAAATTAGCTATTATTCATCGTGCCACGCTACCGGAGCCTCACAATAGATATACTCGCTACTGTACAGTCGTAATCCTATATACCTAGGTAGGTATACCATAATACTTGAGAGGTTGGTGTTAAAAGGCTATACGCTACAGCTAGCCACTCGATGGTAGAGTATTGCTGCCGTAACAGATAATAGTCCAAACCCAACTCAAGCGAATCATAAGGGGAGGACGTCTACATTAACAAGCTCCAATAAAGCGGCAAGAAATGGCTGGAGGCTAGCAGAGCAGTCAGATTTTAACTTCTCAGCAGCTAGTTTGGCGGACTAATATTTGATATATACTATTACATAGATTTTAAGCCAATTAAACTGCTAGCCTAAGTTGCGTATAGGCCTTGCTTATATCATAGGTGTGCATTTTCGAAGGGTTTATCTTGTCTTGGAACAGACTATAGGATAATCGACTAGATCATGTAACCTAGAACCAGGGGGAAACCAAGATTCAAAAAGATACATATTATATATTTATATTCATATACATGGGGTTTACTCTAACCTACCTCCCTAAATGTTCAATTACCTACCCAAAAGCTAACACTGTTACGCGAACTTATTTACAGCTTTATCGGTCTGGTGCTCTTGGCCTACGCCTTGGACTATGCGATCAGTTCCGGGAACGGGCCAGGTATATAGTTGTACAGGCTAGTAGCTATCGTGTTTTTGGCACAGAGCATCCCTTTCTGGATCCAGAGGTTGAAAAGGTGTTTTGGTAAGTTGGCTATTGATATACTATTCGGTGAAATCGCGTACTAATCATTTCTATCATTATGCTTCCAGATGTCTCTACTCGTTAGCAACATTCTCAATCCTAGGTAATTTATGTTGAGATACTATTGGAGATCTATTATCAATGTCTCATGAAGATAGATGTTGCACTCATCTCTCGACTGCCTAGCCGGCCGAGCATAGGACAATATTACGATATATGAATAATGATTAAGACAGCGTAATAAGACCTCTAAGCTAGGATAAAACCGGCTTACAAGACGCCTTGTTTAGTTCATGGGCACCCTAAAGGGCGTGGTTTAATAGTTGGTTACTCTTTAAGTAGATCGCATACTGGAATCTCACTTGCCTAATACGCCTTATTCTATTTATACACTATGATACCCTACCCATTGCGATACCATTGACTTTAGAATTAGCCGGCCTAGCCATTCAGGTATTGACGTGGATTTGGTGCATAGGGCTCGACACTGTCACCGGCGAACTGGGAAGAAAGGAATGGTCCTGGTGACGAGGAAAACCATTGGATTATATAGATGCACGCTATCTGGTAATTCCCCAGCTTTTCCAACCATATGTTAGGTAGGTATGCACATGAAGACAATGTGTGATAAATATTAAGGTATACTGGTTCTTCAGTCGTCTTCGTCTACCCGAGCACGTTTTGGTTCCCTCGACTCTCCCTCCTGTAATCCATAGCCTCTCTTGGAGGAAGAACTCTGATCCACCTCGGCCATGAACTTGTCCATTTGAAAGGGGTCGTTGCCAGCTGTATCCTTCTCGAACTGAACAGGCCCTTCTCGTACCTGATTCCCGTGCAATTAGTAAGAGTCAATAATGAATGATATCTTAGAGTACTAACCTCGGCATCTCCAGCCCCCTTAAAGGTCCCCTTACCCAGCACTTCACCGAATCGGCTGGTCTTCTGAATTTTAGCCATTTCTCGATCTCCGGCACCTTCGTCCTCGTACTCGTCCATGTTCTGGCTCGGTCGATAAATACTACTGATGGCATCCTGTGCTGCAAAGAGCGGTTTATCGTACGGGTTATCTTCGTTGATACCACTATCGAAACCGCTGGTCTGGTTGAATAAACGCGAGTCGTACATAGACTCGGCTTGTTGTGTAGGCTTTGCCAGGCCAAGAGCGATCTTTTCGGAGATGTCACGACCCTGCTCTCTTGCCATGACCTGAATCCGCCTCTCCGCACCCATGCGGGATTGGCGAAGTTTGCGTTCCTCTTCCCGCCGTCTCTCTTGACGGGCCTTTTCTCTTTCGCGGACGTCTGAGCCGTCACTCTCCGAGCCAGAATCCGAATAACTATAGCTGCGTGACCTTGATCGCGACCGGGAATCGCGGGAGGTTCTAGAGTCGCGACGTTTTGAAGCGCCACCACGCTCTTCTCGAGCTTTCTGCGCAAGCATACGTAGGTTTTCTTCTTTCTGTGCCTTCTCCTTTTCTGCGAGTCTTTGCTGCATAAGTGCTCTCTGGCGAACCTCTTCTCGAGCGTGTCGATCTGCCATGAAGAGTGCCTCTGAGAATTGTGCGAACTTGTCGTTGATCGTAACATCTTGTAAACCTCTACCATCCGCCGCTAATCGCTTGTCGAGAGGAACTGTGAAACCCTTCGGGTTCTTCCAATTTGACACTGGGGGAGGGATTTTCCACATTTCTTGGTCTTCGGCGGTCAACTTTCGTGGTGGTGAGTGCATGATGGGTGGCGGAGGGCTGGGAGGTCCACGCGGGATCTTCTTATGCTTGAATTTGGGTGGTTCCACTATAGTATATTAGGTTAGTATTGATGATATACGCATGTAAAAGGAATTGTGACAATGGAAAGGAAAAGGGATGCACGTACTAGGATCCTTTTGCCTCTCTACGATTTTCATAATTCTGTCCTGCTTCTTCGAGTTGTCCCCCATCTGATTCGCCGGTGTGTAGCGTACGAACGTAGGATCCTTCCGCGCCCCAACATTGACATTCTTTGGCTTCTGAGCTGCGACAGCACCGCTAACAAGCGTAGCGAGGGCTTTTGCTGTTCTTTCTTTCGTTTCTTCTACCTCTTGCTCGCTGGGCCTCTCCAGATTGATCTCGCCTGCATCTGCACGCTGTCGAAGAGGAATGAGATCCTTAAACGACGAGTGAACTATCCTCCCTTCACCGTGGCCTTGTCTCGCGATGGCATCGTACTTGACTTTTCCGGCGGCATCGACTTGGATTGCTAGAGCATTGCTTGTACCCGACTCTTTACCCATCGACAAGGGATATTGCGCGATCGGAATCTCTGGGAAAGCACCTCCATCGCCAAAATCTTCCTGACCTCTTGGTCGCCATCCTACTCGCTGACCGTATGGCGGCGGACCAGTTCTTCGAAGGACAATTTGCGATTCGTCTATTTGGCCAGCACCGATAATTCGAGGACCACGCTGCTGGGCATGCGCTGGGATATCTTCATCCTCGCCGGTATACTTCGGCTTCGGTAGAGCAGCCGTAAGTGATGCCGCCATCATGAGGACTGATTGTAATGTATTTTTAGTACGTTGTTGAAAACTTGTTGAAAACTTGGCTGGCCAAGTTTGCAGCACCTGGAAAGTTTAAAGTTTGTAGATGCGTCGCGGTTCTGCAAGACGACCTACTAATTAAAGTGGAGAACAAACAGTTGTGGCTGGAAAGTTGTATACCAGGCTCTTAGGTATTGTACCTTCCAAGGCAGTTAAGAAGTATATGCATTTAACGAGTCATACCGACACTTTGTGTTGTATTCTTAATATAGGCATATTTTGACTACGAAGCTTAGGACTGCTTATCGAGTATTACGATGAAGGCGTACTTGCAGCAGAAAGGCATATAGTTGGATACGTATAAAATGTTACGGTATAAGATAGCAAACACTCAAGAATGTAATCCGCAGTGCATATCACTTACCACTTACCACTTACACGAGAAATGTACCTATATATATCATGTGTGTACAAGTCACCGTAACACGTATTTCTAGCTCTGGATTAACTGTCATTCCCCTATCTTGACCCAAAGACTTCTCATCCGATTATGTCGACAATTCTCATTCCATTTTGACTCCTATGATACATAACGCATGAGGTGCCAATGCCAACCGGTGTTCCAATACGCCGCAAACCCCGTCTTAATAATCTTAATGCTTCAAGTTCTTCGTTTACACGTAACCCTTCCGCGCGCCCTAGGAATATTATTAGCAGAAGCGCAGTGATTCATAAATAAGTTGCATACCTGGAAGAAGAATCGGACGACAAAGACCTGCAAGCCACCCATGCAGACAACCATCAGACACTGGACCAAGCTGAAATTGACGATTCGTGACTCCGTGCTTCGGACGGTGCTAAAGTTTCGGTTTTCTCGTGTGCGGAAATACTTTTGGTTTCGCGCAATTGTAGACAGTTGACCTGACACTTTGTATATAGATTCTTCAAGGGCGGTTGTCTGTTCTGGAGTCGATCCTTGCTTAGAGGGAAGCTGAGCCCGTACTTCGTCCTCGACCTAGATGAAAATGGGTTAGAACCTGTACACATTGTCCGACAACGAGGACTCCACTCACAGAGATCTCGAAATCAACAAATTTCTCCGAATATGTGCTCATGTCATTGTCGAAGCAGAACTTATACTCGCCAACTTCATTGGCCGTGAAGACGAAATCGCCCTGGCGCTCCTTCTCTCCATCCAAAATGATCTTGCCTCCGGGACCAGTTACTTTATAGTTGATGTCGAACGAGCCTCCAGATTGGACCTGTAGTAAAAGCCAGTCAGCGGAGCAGTTAGCAAGGCAAGGCGCATATAAAACCTACGGCAAAGTAAAAGGCAATCTTGGAGCCCTTCTTTTCAGCTGCTGCGTAAAAGCAGGCCTGCTCGTTGGCACTAATCTTATAAGTTAAAGCGGTTGCTGAGACCAAAGAGAAGAGGCAGGCGAATAGCCCAGCCGAAAATAATGTCAACTTCATGTTGTGTTGTTGTGCGCAGTCGGAGAATATGAAGTTGGTCGAAAGCTCGGGGGACCTTCTGGACAACTTGTCGCAAGCGATAATTGCTTTAACTGCCACGCCTGAACATTGAATTCAAGGGCCAACTGTCAGGGGTCGGGTTATTACTTGGCCCGTCCGTCTTTCATGCTACGCAGGTACTTAGGTACTTGGGTACTCAGATACTTGGGTACTTTCCTACTTCACCCCCTATGTGTGACTTAACAGTCTAATCAGTTAAACTCGATTGGTCCCAGATAAAGCATACCGGCGGGGATAGTGGAGAGCTTCAGCCACATATACAAGCATAGACGTAACTCTATCACTCCACTGTCGTCACAGCTACCTACCTACCTACCTACCTTGTAACTTAGTAGGCTAACATTGCGACAGGAGGTTCGGCAACTTGCGACGGAAACCCTACCTTCGCCCTATTTTTCAACTTTGCATCTACAACTTTAGATGGCCTTTCCCTACCACCTATTCGTGACGCCATCATAGGCCTCCATCTGTGGAGTTTATTTTTTATCTCAAATCTATACCATTTCTTCCTCTCATTCATATATATTATATTTCTACCCATCTAACGTCCTTAACTACCTAACCCAGGTAGTCCGGCGAATCATTCGTCATATAAGTCGAGCTCGACTTGTCTCCCTTTTCGGCCCCCGAATTTATTGCGCTGCTAATAATGGGGGGATACACTAAGAGAACAGCGGCGATCACGTCCGCGGGAATACGAATCGTCTCAATCGTCTTTCTACGATGGGTAAGAGCTTCACCCCCTAACCCCTAATATGAATTCTACTAACGACAGCAGGTCGCTTTACCCGTAAGTTTCCCTGATTAATGCGCCATCTACGCGATGTTGCCTTACTTAAACTTGCTGACAACTTCAGCCTTTTCTTCCGATAATTTATACACTATTTGCAATATATCTTCCATCCTTCATCTCGACTTACGCCACCGAATCTAAATACGAACTTATTGACGAAGTCGATATAATCCTTAAGGAGGATATCTTGAATAAAGATGATATTGCCAATGGATCAACTAATGAAGCCGTCATAGTTGAGGAAGTTGATGTTGAAGAGACAGCAGAAATCGTGAAGAAGCCTCTAAGTCCTCTTAGCACCCTCTTAAAAGGGACCCCGAACCCGAATAGCTTTTTCTTGACGGCATTAACATTCTTGCTTAATGTTGCCTGCGTCGCGATGGTCACTGACATGGTATACACACCCCGGTGGTTCCATCCCAGTCATGACCTTTCTTTTGCTCGCGTTGGATACGTCTCAGACAGCGAGGCGAAATTACTGATCCGGGAGCCCGATCAGACCAAAATGCCCATCACTGTTCAAGTTCACATCAAAGATGCACACCCACCGTTTGATAACCCTCTATGGCAAACAGCTGGCAGTATCCTTTCGACGACTAACGAGACTGACTTTACCGCGGTGGTCAATATTCCCCTGAGCCATTCTAAGCAGCGGGTGTACGAATGGACCACCTCGAACAATCACTCGGGTGAATTCACATCTGCCCCTAAGCCGGGTTCCTTACCAGAGCTTTTTGATGGCAAATTTACCTTCCTATCTACCTCGTGTATTGTTCCGCGTCTTCCCTATTCTCCGTTAGACCACCCCTTAGCTTTCCCAGGCATGAAACATCTGGCGAAAGTATTACCGAACTTGGGCGCGCAGTTTATGTTGTTCCTTGGCGATTTCATTTACATCGAAGTACCCCAGCGATTCGGCGACTCCGTTGAGAATTATCGACAGAAATATCGCCAAGTCTATGCTTCACCCGACTGGCCGGCTGTAGGCCAAAATCTTAGCTGGATTCATGTTCTTGACGACCACGAAATCTCTAACGACTGGGATTCGAAGTTGACTGGTGTATATGAAACGGCCGTAGACCCCTGGCACCATTATCAGACCGCGGTAAACCCTCCGGAGGCTAAGAAGGCTGGAGGTCAGGGCATCGTATCGCGCAAAGGGGCCACGTACTTCTCGTTCATTCAAGGACCTGCTAGCTTTTTTATGCTTGACACCAGAAGTTATCGATCCAAGAACTCGGAGCCGTTCGATAGCGAAAACAAAACGATGCTTGGCGATACACAACTCGAAGATTTCCTTGATTGGGTGCGCCGCCCAGAACCCAAGGGGGTTAAGTGGAAGATTGTTGCCAGTTCCGTCCCATTCACGAAGAACTGGAGAGTGAATACCAAGGACACCTGGGGTGGCTTCCTCTCCGAGCGCCGAAAGATTCTCGAGGCTATGTGGGATGCTAGTAGCCATGGAGTAGGCTTTGTGATCCTATCCGGAGACCGCCATGAATTTGGTGCGACAGCCTTCCCGCCGCCGAAGAACAGCACATGGTCAGAGAGTGCGACTGTCCATGAGTTCTCAGCAAGCCCTCTTAACCAGTTCTTTTCGCCTATCCCTACCTACTCACAGACAGACGATGAAGACGTCCAGCTCAAGTAAGTTACGCAACCATTCCCCTAAATTATCAGTACGTTGACAATAGTAGATATATAAACGCGGGCAACTCGAAGTTTGGCGCGATTACCATCGAGAAGTTTGCAGAGGGCGAGCAGAGCAGCTTGAAGTACACCGTCTATATTGATGGCGAGGAGAGGTGGAACACCGTGATACTATCGCCAGAATCGTTACATCCGGCCAAGACAGGGGGTTCTTTCTGGGACAGACTCAGGGGAATTTGACCCCAATATAGGTAATCTCACATATAATACACAGCCAGCTATATGCTCGCTTACATGCTCTCGGTTGAGCATCGAATTTGCTGGGCAGATGAATAGACCATAGTTTTTAATGCCAAACGACGGACGCAATAGTTATAGGGTGCAAGATGCTAAACGTGATATTCTATCTTTTGTTCCAGCTACATTTACAGTCTATCATTCCACCCCACGTCTCCCTTAACCACCGTAACTACCAGTCACAAGATCTTGTAGGGCTACTCTCAGAGACAGCCATGGACGGGGTGCTGCTAGACCTTGAGCTATGGACCCCCGTTGATGTTCTCGAGTGCCTCTGATCCGAAAAATCGGAATACCCGGCCCATGTACCGTTGAGCCATGCTTGTCCCCTTGATGGTTCTCCCGACAGACGCGCTTCGTGAAGTAGTTGCTGCCACCTCTCGCTTAGTTCTTCGATGTCTCTCTTAATGTCGGCTAGGGCTCTAGGGCCTCGGTGTTCTTGGTCCCCTTCTCCGCTGCTGTCTATAGTCGTGCGAGAGCGCAGCCCCTTTTTGATCGCCTCGTGCTGCTCTGGTTTAGTGCGACGATGCGGGGGTTTAGGCGAGGATCTGGGGCTTGTGTCTTTCGTTTTGCCCTTTTCGTCTGCCTTTTCCTTGGCTTGATGGGAGATTGCAGTTATGTCAGAGTCTTTCCTTGCTGGCTTTTGCGAGCTTGGCTTTTGCTTGGGCGATGGTGATGGTGTGTTGATTGGCGAATCCTCGGACTCGGTAACAGGGCTGTTTGGTGGGCTGGCATTCCCTTGTTGTTTACTTGGTTTCTTCCTATGCTGCCGACTTCGTTGCTCAGGCTTAGCCGCTTCTGGACTAATACCTGCTGAGATCGGGAGGTCCTCAAACATGTAAAGTCTACCTCGAACAGGTTTAGGAAATATATCTGCAAATGCTTGTCTATTGATGCTGTCCGAGATATATGTGAAATATATCTGAGGGCCGACATGTCGTGCGGCCTGGCGACCTGGCCATGGAAATTCAGGCACACTCGGTTGCGGTTCCGGCCTTGGCCCTTTCGGTTTCGGTTCCCGACGTCGGGGAGACGGAGTATAAGGATAGCCGTGACAGTAAGATGGCCCATCCATAGGGAAGCTGTCCACTTGAGAATTAGGACTATAAGCAGTATAGTTGCTTCCCGGCCTCCTAGGTATTGTATGATTTGCTTGCATAGAATTGTAATGAGAATTAGGTACTGGGCGGCGAGATATCCGACGGGTTGGTTGTGTTGATCCGTCGTGGTTTCTCGGGTCGCGATTAACGGGATTATGGCATCTAGCTGTATTGGATAGCTGTGCGTTAGGTGGTTGCTCTATAGCCTCCTGCCACGGTGATTCCTGATCATTAGCCCCGGACAGTTCAGCCGGGCCGTTCAATGCCTCTGGCTGTGGAGGGAAAGGAGGAACGTTTGCCGGTGGATCATTGGCGGTTTTGTCGTCACTGAGTTTTTCTATTATTAATTCACAACATCTTTTAATCTTGTCTTTCCAAGTTTTTACCGGTGGGCGGTCTGGGGCATTAGGACCTTCTGTCAGAGGAGGGTAGTGCTTCATGCGGTAAAGATAACACCCCCCTATACCGAAGATGAAAAATAATACTGCAAGCATAATAGATATTACGATTACTGGCTTCTGAGGTACGGGCTTGTTATAGGCAAGAGTTGCGATGAGGACGCCACCAGCAGAGACCAAGATAAGGCTCACAATGCAGCATGGTATAACTTTGTAAGTGATATCTCGCACACAGCTGACTCTACGAGTGCTTTTAAGCCTGGCCTGGCCTTCTTCTAAGTCACCTGGGGATTCATTTGCTGTTACAACTGTGGCCATGGTAGTTGGTGTTGGGGGATATTTCATGAATCAGCAGTATCGAGTCACCTCTGCCATATTTGAATAGGCAATAAAATAGATGGTAGATATTTCTCGAACGACTGTGTACATTCTATGAGAAGATTCTGGGTTGGTTGCTAACTTGATATTAGTTAACAAAGGTAGCTTACCAAAGATTGAGAAAACAATAGAACGAGTAACTGGCCTTAAGATTTAGTTATAATATTAGTTAGTTACATGCTTTGAATCAAGTTGATGGCATACTCCATGTTAGAAAGTTACGCGCTGATTAAACGTATAATAATATAGAACTATGTCTACAGTTATAAGCCAACGAAAAATTATTACACAATAGGAACGGTAGTTTCAAAGAGCATCTTGATATGCATTGATGTATCAGCTAGTTCTCGAGTGCCCAGGTGTTAGACAGAAGATACCACTAACCTAGGGTAATACCTTACTACATACCGCTAATATATCCATAGACTTAGGTAGTTACACTACATATAAGACATGTATTATATAGTACATGTAATACAATACATAAGTCTAAGAGACCGGCTTACTTGTGGCGCAGTAAGAACTAAAATTTAGCCACATCTACTAGGTTAATAGGTTAATAGGTTATAGATCATGGCCTCCACTACCATGACCCCATTTTAATCTTCTTAAACTTCCTTCGAAGTTCTAAGGAGTGGCTTAATTATTATACCCTACCCCTATACCTCCACCCATTTATACACACTATATTAGAAGATGAGTTTTAATTTTAGAACGATAAGATGCAGTCGACATATGGTGAGGTTCGTGGTTTAGATTCTCAACTTGAGATAAGTCAAAGCTGACAATATTTGTTTGTAGTTGGGCGGTCGGAACTCGCCGTAGCCTGCCGCCTTTATACCACTTGCAAGTCAGAATGCAAGTCAGAACACTGGCAACGACTTCTGAGAAGCCTTTTGTGTTAAGTTCGAGTGGTTACCTCACTTTTTCATACCCTGGTACTGCTAGAGCCTTGAGACGGTGCACACTGTAAGTAATTAGCTTTGTTCAAGCACAAATACTGGAATATCTATTATGCTAACACTTGCGAAGGCCAAATATATGGTTACGGTATGCAAACCCTCCATGATAGATGCCATAGAGTTGTATAACTCATCTTTTAAGGGATAATTGCCGATGCGATAGCTGCGTTCACCAAGGTACTATGCAGAGGAATTTCGATACGTTCCACGTATGCTTGTCTTCCCCAGTATAACTTGCAAATATTCTAAAGTGTATTCAGATACCCCAAGATGTTGAGCCCTCTCATATTGAAGTAGACAACGATGGAGTCAAGATACAGTGTAAGAGCTTAGTACCGCTGTACTTAATATCTTTAAATAATACCATGCTCATTTTTGCAGGGGCCGAAGATGAACACGAAAGTTTCTATCCATGGGACTTTCTTGAATTCTACCTGAACTTCGATAAGAGAGAACCAGAGTCTATTGAGTACGTCTTACCCTAATTGAAAAATCACTCGAAAATTGACCAATATGTTATAGATTAGAGTATTTCGGAGCACAAGGACCACAGGGTTCACAAAACTGGCCCCCATCTTTGGAATATCGGGATTTTTCGGCAAACGAAACTAAGGCCGTCGGCCGTTTAACGGATTTTATCGTAAGTTTCTCTTACTCAGTCTAGCTAAAGGGGACACATACTTACGAATATCTTTAGAGGCGCAATGGTTTTGTATTTGTTACCGGAGTGCCAGTTGACTCGGCAGAACCAACTAAGGAGCTACTGGAGAAGATTGCCTTTATAAGACAGACACATTACGGTGGATTTTACGACTTCAAACCGGACCTCGCCCTTGCCGACACCGCTTACACCAACATGGCATTGGGAGCTCATACTGACACGACTTACTTCACCGATCCTGCTGGATTGCAAGCGTTCCATCTCCTTTCCCACACCGATTTTAGCATCGAAGCCATTCCAGAAACAAACCTCGGAGGCAAATCGCTACTTGTCGATGGATTCCATGCTGCGGATATTCTCAAGAAAGAGGACCCAACAGCGTTTGAGGTGCTGAGCCGGGTCAAGCTTCCGTGGCATGCTAGCGGTAATAAGGGGATCACTATATCACCTGACAAACCGTATCCTGTTCTCGAGGTAGACGAGAGCAGTGGCAAGACGCATCGAGTTAGATGGAACAATGACGATCGTGGAGTCGTCCCCTTCGACAGCATATACTCTCCAGATGAATGGTATAGGGCGGCAAGGAAGTGGAACGACATCCTGAGAAGAAGGTCTATCGAGTATTGGTTTCAACTCAAGCCGGGCAATCTTCTAGGTGAGTCTGCACGATCTGAAATAGAATTTCTACCTAATTATATGGGCCTATAGTCTTCGATAACTGGAGGGTTTTACACGGCAGAAGCGCCTTTACTGGAGAGCGAAGGATATGCGGTGGATATAGTGAGTCAGATGTTCCTTTCATCTGTATTGCAACAGCTATTCAGTACTGACTAACATTCCCCTAGTCAATCGGGATGATTTTATCTCGAGATGGAGAAACACCAATTACCCACGGGACGAGATCCTGAAGCAAATTATAGGCTAACTTTTATCCCTGGCGGTACCGGCCGTACTCGGCATAACATGCTCGGGCAGAAATATCCCTTGGCTGTCAGGTTCAGACCCGGGATTTTGGAGGCTAAGAGACGACAAAAGTAACACCGGTGTACTTACGCAGAGTTAGGTATTTTATTTGCCTTATTTGGCAACCCGTTAACTTGACTCACCTTGTTCTTACGTTATATTTTGTACAGTAACATTGTTATTCCTTAACTTCTCCAACATGCCTGGCGGGTATCAAGTGGTCCCCCCCTCACTGCCCCATTGCCTAATGTCTGGGGGAAACGACCAAAGCAGTCTACACCCTATACATAGATCGAAAGCTGGAATCTACCTAGCTTGCGCTTATCTCGATACCCTCCATGCGTTACTGCAAGACGAGCCCACGAGTTCACCAGCTTGCATTTGGCGCATCAATCCCACGCTGTTTTGGATGGCCACTTAAATAAGAGCTGCAGTAGTCAGACGCTCTGGCAAACCAGCTTTCACAATTCGCTTTAGGCGGTTACTACTCCGCAGTTTGCTTGCAGGGTATAGATCTTAGCAGGCGACCCTTTACTGCAACTGGACGTCATCTTCGGCCCGGGCCCATCACGTCGGCATAATTCGGTGATTATCGTATAGGGCCTGGTAGTTTGCAGGATACCACGTTCTTTATACCACGTCTTTATATACAATCAATTCTAATGTTTTTTTTTCCGCCATGCGTCGCCTGCTATTTAAATCTCTCTCGTTCCTCTTTGCTTGTCTAGAACAAAGAATACTAACTCTCGGTACTCATTCTCGGTTTACTACGCCTTCCCGCTTTTCTGATTTTCTAGACCGTCTTATACAGACCAAACCGTCAAGATGGCTGATATGAACACTGGCACTTTCAAACATGACATTACAGAACCTCCTAAATCTAATCTAGTTTTGCCACTATTTTCCCTTAAAGGAAAGACGGCTATCGTCTCTGGCGCTGGCGCTGGAATTGGTCTCTCGATAGCTCATGCGTTTGGTATGAACGACACCCTGTTTCGCAGTCCACATCCCTGTACTTACCTTAATGTTTCCTGTGCCATCTTATCTGTAGCATTGAACATATACTAACAAAGGACAGTAAGTGGATAACGCATTGTTATTTCAGTGCTTCTATAAAAGCCCCGACCTTTACAATCGACCCCAGTAATAGATCTACAGAGCCCGTTGAAAACCGAAAGGCTTCTAACGGTACCGACAATTTGTTCTGCCGTGGTAGACTAACTTGTACTAGGCTGAAGCGGGAGCTAATGTTGCGATATGGTACAACTCCAACAAGAAGGCCTTGGAGGAAGCTGCTAATATCGAGAAAACTTACGGCGTTAAGTGTGAGTGAATTGTCTTGAACCTCGAAGCTCTAATGCACCTAATCTGAAATTCGATGAATAGGCAAGGCTTACCAGGTCAACGTATCGACATGGGAAACGGTTCAGGCCGCCGTTGACGAAATCGTTAACGAGTTTAACGGTAGACTCGATATCTTTGTTGCGAACTCAGGTATCGCGTGGGAGGACGGACCCTTCATCGATGGCCCACTCGAGACGATGCAGAAAGTGTTGAAGGTTAATATTGACGGCACCCTGTTTTGCGCACGAGCTGCCGCCCTGCATTGGAGGCGGCAGAAGAAGGAGGGCACTACTGTCGACGGACAGCCGCTGGAAAACTTCAGCTATGGCAGTTTCATCAGCACCGCTAGCATGAGCGGTCACATTGTCAATATTCCTCAGCAGCAGACCGTATACAACGCGTCTAAAGCCGCGATCACTCATGCCTGTAGGTTTATCCTGGCCATGCAACCTCAAGGTTTCCATACTTACACTAGTCGTAGGCAAGTCATTAGCGGTTGAGTGGGTTGGCTTTGCGCGTGCCAACTCAGTTTCCCCGGGTTACATTAAGACGGATATTTCCGCCTTCATTCCCCCCGAGACCAAGAAAGTCTTCAAGGACAAGATCCCGATGGGGTAGGTTCCTCCTTTGCCACCATCGTAACTTCATCGTCTAACCCTGACTGTAGACGGGAGGGCGAGCCTGAAGAATTGAAAGGCACCTATCTGTACCTGGCTTCTGACGCCTCCTCGTATACGACTGGTATCGACATCATTGTTGACGGCGGCTACTGCGCGCCGTAAACGAAGCGTTGAGATATCTGTTAGCCTTTCTGGTTGGGATAAATGGGAACTTTCATAGCGCTAGACTCTTGGTGTTAGAGGCGTTTCTCTGTCGTTGTTTTTGGAGAAGGTAGGCGTCTAGATTCTTGAAGCTTGTCAGGATACCCTTATGAATAAATTAAAGAGCTGCGTTTGAACCTTGATGGTCAATTTTGGTTGTCGAATTTCTGACAAAAGATTAGGATGTACTTTGTAACCCGTCTTAGCTAAGCATTACGTGTAAGAGGTACTAAGCTAAGTGTACATACATAGGAGGTACATAGATAGAGGACAGTTAGGTCATGCGTTTATTATGGATGAAGTCATCGTCAGGGCTGAGCATATGTTTTTACGCATTATGGAAGGCTCCTTCTAGTGTAATTGCATTTCGAAAGGCACGACAGATGCCTTCTGTTAACCCCTTATATACGTGTACATAGGTATATGTAGACAGCAATTGCCCGCATCGAATTAAGAGGTACCTATTTAACCTAGACATGTAGGCTGGTTATTCGAATAGTTCTTATCGCATCTGTATTGTGGCGTAGATAAGAGCATTGAGTATCGACCTAAGCTTCTGTTACCCCTGATCATGAGTTAAATATTTATATAAAATGCACATGCTCGGAAAATGTATTATCAGATCTCCTAGGTTAGGTACCTAGATTAGGTACGAGAATCTATTCTTAATTCACACCGAGAATCGCATAAACCAACCACATCTGGTTGGACTTTTTACCTCCTATGTCATATCACTTTTCGAAGTCACATAAGAGGTAGGTACATCGGTATGTACATATGTACCTAACGTAGCTCAACCTGAAGGTCTAGAATTCAAGTACCTTTTTTGTACTCCTTACTCCACTTGCCGCGTATTACACCGCATTGTACATATCGTATTATACAATACATTTACAATATATTAGAAATGTACTAAGATAGGACTTACATGTACACTAGCCAATACAGCAAGCTCTAGCTTTCAGGAGGTGCAAGAGCAAGTACATAATCTTTAGTGTAGCATAGGTACACAGCACGTAACGAAGAAGTAACACAATCGGTTTTCGTGCCTTGCCAATCCTGCCTGCCTTCCGCCGCCTAACTTGCTAACTCATCATTTTCATTATTATTCTCCAGTTTCAGCCCTCGTGCTCTTTTCCACTTCTTCTTCAACATTCAACATATCCACTACCTTCAACGGCCCAATAGATCTCCAAATTAACTTAATTTTATTCCCTATTTCTCTATACACTTTTGCTGCGTGAAGCGCTGCTACTATCCGATCCTCGTAGCTAAAGGCGCATCATCGTTCATCACCTACATTTCACCATGGACGCTGGAGAGGGCCAGGCGCCTTTCTCCCCCCCTGCGGGCTCAGCGCCAGATCAACGCAACGTCCAGGTTCAGGTCGACAATGCCATTCGCGCTATTCAGGAGAAGAAGCCTCTCCCTGAGATCGACTTCAGTATCCATACTATGGAAGATGGCACACAAGTTAGCACTATGGAACGGGTCTGCAAAGGTAGGCTGCTCAAACCCAAATTCCGAGGAACTACCCCGCCACTCAGACAAAATGCTGATTGACTGACCGACTGGGTATCTAGATGTTCAAGCGCCCGCCACATTCAAGCCTACCGACGAGCAGTTTTTCGAGGATGATACCCATACGAAACCTAACATTACTTTTTTGAAGCAGCACTTTTATCGCGAGGGTCGATTGACCGATGAGCAAGCCTTATGGATCATCAAGACCGGCACTGAGCTCCTACGTAGCGAGCCTAACCTACTGGAGATGGATGCTCCTATAACAGTCTGCGGTGACGTTCACGGCCAATACTACGATTTGATGAAACTTTTCGAAGTCGGGGGCGATCCGGCTGAGACTAGGTATCTTTTCCTTGGCGATTACGTCGATCGAGGCTACTTCAGTATCGAGTGTGTTCTATACCTGTGGTGTCTGAAGATACATTACCCAAAAACTCTTTGGTTGCTACGCGGGAATCACGAGTGTCGCCATTTGACCGACTACTTCACCTTCAAGCTTGAGTGCAAGCACAAATACTCCGAAGCTATCTACGAAGCTTGTATGGAATCCTTCTGCTCCCTTCCGCTTGCCGCTGTCATGAATAAACAATTCCTCTGCATCCATGGAGGGCTCAGCCCCGAGCTACATACTTTGGATGATCTGAGAAATGTAGGTCCTCGAATATTCCTCTTAGCCTTGTCTCTAGTGTAAGATGTAGTTTGTTGCTGACCTGAGATAGATTGATCGCTTCCGGGAACCGCCTACCCAAGGATTGATGTGCGATATCCTATGGGCTGACCCCCTAGAGGATTTTGGCCAGGAGAAGACTAGCGAATACTTCATGCACAATCATGTACGCGGCTGTTCGTATTTTTTCTCCTACCCTGCAGCATGCGCGTTCTTAGAGAAGAACAACCTGCTCTCCATAATTCGAGCACACGAGGCTCAAGACGCCGGTTATCGCATGTACCGTAAGACTAGAACCACTGGATTCCCGAGCGTTATGACCATATTCTCCGCGCCCAACTACCTCGACGTTTACAACAACAAGGCGGCGGTATTGAAATACGAGAACAACGTTATGAACATTCGGCAGTTCAATTGCACACCGCATCCGTATTGGCTCCCTAACTTTATGGACGTATTTACTTGGTCTTTGCCGTTTGTTGGTGAGAAGATTACTGATATGCTAATCGCCATCCTGCATACCTGCTCAGAGGAGGAGCTTAAAGAGGAAACACCTCTATCGTCATCTCCTGGTCCGCAGTCGCCTCCGCTCGGGGGTCCTTTATCAGATCCGGATTCGATTGAGTACAAGAGACGGGCTATTAAGAACAAAATCTTGGCCATTGGTCGACTATCACGAGTGTTCCAGGTACTTCGGGAGGAATCTGAGAGGGTTACGGAACTCAAGACCGTATCCGGCGGACGACTACCTGCGGGTACACTCATGCTTGGCGCAGAAGGGATCAAGAATGCTATCAACACCTTCGAGGATGCTAGGAAAGTTGATCTCCAGAACGAGAGGTTGCCACCTAGTCATGAGGAAGTTCAGAAGCACCAAGATGAGGAACGACAGCAGGCATTAGAGAGGGCCTCCCGGGAGGCTGATAATGATAAGAAACTACAGACTCTTTCCAGGAGGTTGAGCACGTAAGTACTAATTTGTTATCATCCTGTCAGCATCCGCTTACAATCAAGCAGGGATCGCAAGCGATGATCCAGTGCGAGTATATATCAGCTAATCGTTAAGATAGTGGGTGAACATCACCTCGGTGTTCCCGTTTATAGTGGTTGCACTTGATGCATATCTTGGCTTAGCAGATTAGAACATCCTATCAAGGCAGTACTTTTGGTAACTCTTCGAATGATACTAGTGAAGCCTTGCCTGGATTATTGCTCTAATATCACAATGCCGAGGATTCAAGGGGCTCTAATGAGACAAGCTGGACGATACAGTTTCATGTGACTGACGCATAATTGAGACGAACACGGTGTTGGGAAAAGGATGTCTTACGATACTTGGCGAGTTAATGAAAATCTTGGAACTGTGCCAGAGCCGTAGGACGGTACTAGCCCTACGAATATCTGGCCTTTGATCTACTGTTATCTGTAAAGCCGATTTAACATTATACTAAAGCACTTAGACACGTGATTACTGAATTAGACAGATACTTGGCTCATGGGACAGCTAATCATGATATTAACGAGGTCTAACTCCTAGATTCTTCGACTCCCAAACTAGTCTCATTTCATCCCTACGTCGACGGCTTGATAGCCCATCTTTAGGTAGTTAGTGGATAGCGTGGCTAAAGCGAAGTTACCTATCTATCTATCCTTTTAATAGGCCTCTAACTCTCCTTTGACAGCGGTAGAGGCTTTCCTTATCCCACCTATACACAACATCGCCCAATTCCAACCCGGCTCACATATCTGCACTGATCGTATAATCTAGAAAATAGCGAGTATATTGGGCGGACTAGCGACACCGCCGGGGACATTGCATGGCTCGCTGACGACGAAGAAGGACCAGCGTTTCTGCGCCTCGCAGTATGCGGCGAGCTTTTCTAGGTCAAATAATTCGCCGATCGGACATCCCCAGCCAGAAAGAAGGACTTCGTGCAGGATGTGCGGGGAGTCGGGGGGCGCGGGCCAGCTCTCGACTATGGGATGGGTGTCAGCGGTAAGGGGCAAGGTAGAAGGTTAGGGATTAGGGATTAGAGGCTACGTACAAGAGGGTTGGTCCCCTGCCACAGCCGAGAAGTGCTCCCAGATCCAGCGCAGCATAGCTTCCGACCGCTCGACGCCACCGAAGTGATGCGGGACCACAGCTTGGTAGGCGCTGAGATCGGCCTCAGTTTTCTGGGGATAGGTTGCTGTGAAGCCTATGGGTGTTGTTAGTATACTGTCTGAGTACCTACATAGGTAGGTACCTGTCTGAAATAAAGCTAAGGGGGAAGAGATTGAGTTAAGAATGATAGGTTAGGATAGGATAAGATAGGATAGGGGGAAATGCGTGCCTGAGCGGATGAACAAGATATCACCGAATTTAGCCTCAGTCCCTTGCGCAGCTAGACACGCCTGTAGATCCTCAAGCGGGATCGCATCGTTCTTAAACGGGTCGTAGGGCTTAAGGTCAGCAGCAGGCTGCGCGAGCCGCCAGCTGTGGTAATCGACTAAGACGCCGCGGCCTACGATACCCTGTTCCGCCCATGCTGTTGGCTTGTTAGCCCATCACGGCACACACATACACATACACACACCACACGTATATATATATATATATATATATATATACCAACCCCCTTCCCCCTTCCCCCTTCCCCCTTCTCCAAAAAGTAAACGCACCGTGTATCCCATTCACCGTAGTCTTCCCGCCATCCTCGCGGACGCCGTGTATATCCTCCATAGTCACGCCGTTATAAAAGCGCGCCTCGCGCTGGTAGGCATAGTGGCGCAGGCCGTCCCACTGCGTGGACACCTGGGAGTTGAAGGTCCAGACGTCGTCGTTGACGACGCGCGGGGTCTTGCGGATCAGGGACTGCGTGAATACGTGGCGCGCGAAGAAGGACTTTTGGGGCTGCGCGTTGAGAGGCCAGTTTAGGGAGATGCTGGATTTGGGACGGGGTTAGCTGGGTGAGGTTGTTGTTGTTGTGGTGGTGGTGGTGGTGGTGGTGGTGGTGGGGGTGGAGTAGGTAGGAGGATGAGGAAGAGGGAGGTTATGTAGGTAGGTAGGTAGGTAGGTAGGTATGCATACCGGTGGCCTGTCTTGATCTCGTTCTTGGCTGCGGCGGCTACCCGCTCGTCTGTTAGTCGGTTGAGTGTTCCGAGCTCGTCTTTGTCGCCGTATAGACCCCATGCCGAGTAGTGCGGGTCTGACTGGCGTAGAGGGAGGTCCTCGAAGTTCGGGATGTTGTTGCTGTTGAGCTTGAATCCGGAGACGGGCGGAGCCATGGTTGTGTGTACCTATGTATGTGGTATGTATGTGGTATGTATGTGATATGTATAAGTCAAGTGAGTTATTTGGGATTTTGACTAAATGCTTCTATTGTAGACAGTTGTAGATCGAGTGTTTTCTTGCCATGGATAGATGGGTAAAATGCTACGCTCATAATATGCCATGATGAAATAACGCTATCCCCTCCTTTTATCTTAGCACCTTTTCAATGCCGTGTCGCGTCGGGAAAGGACACGATGCCGATCGCAAGTTCATCCATCTCCCCGCACTTGGATACGTTCCACGGTTGAGACGCAGGTTGAGGTTAATCTGCCTAACCTAGATCTTTACGCCTCTACTTTGGAGTATAGCACCATCTCGGTTGCAACTTGCTGTGTATTATGTGACCCCACAACGAGAGGTGGTTCGCTTGGCGGGTTAATACGTAGCGAACCATTCCCACCCGTGGCCACCTGTGGGATTGGTATGTAGCTACTTGCTTATCTACCTTAGGTACCTATTTGACTTGGTTGTCTCCCATCCGGGGCGGTATTATCACAGTTTATATGTAAACGCAGCGACTAGACAGACAGTCACGTAACTCATTATCGTCGCTGAACTATGCCTGTACGAAAATAATATTGCCAAGGCGCACTTCTGTTACCTACTATCCATAGTGGGATGATTCGCGTCCTGGGGAACAACAATACCAAACTTGTCATAAGGGAAGTTCTCCAGGCTAACAAGCTGTTCGGCCCGGCCATCGTCGATCGCGCCGAGTTGCTCGTCATTGCCAATCGGATATAACGCTGTTCTCCCGGCAAGCACCTCTTTCTCTTTGCCTTTGTACTCGGCGGCGAGGCCGGGATGAGGAACCCATACGGCCCTCATGCCTGCCCTCCGCCCTGCCTCTACGCCTAGGACGCTGTCTTCGAAGACTAGGCACTCGTTGGGCGTGATCTTCGGGATGCCTTCAGGTAGTGATGAGTTAATTGCCTGCAGGGCAAGCAGGTAGATGTCAGGAGCCGGTTTGCCACGTTGGATCCTGGGATCGTCTCCTAGGACTCGGTGTTCCTCTGGAATTAGATCAAGAACAGCCTTCGTTTCTGGCCGCGAAGTCTTTAGCTCGTAGTTCGCTTTATGGCTACTCGTAGCGAGAGCAATTTCGACCGATAGCCCCTGCGTACCATGTGCACTCTTGAGATCCTTGAGGAGCTTCTCTACCCCTGGGAGGGGCTTGCATTCGGGGAAATGGATCCGGTGCTGTCCAGTTTGTTCCTCTTTGAACTGCTCTCTTGAGATTGGTAGCTGGGCCCAGCTGTGAAAGGTGTCGCCGTGGGATGAGCCAGGGACGCCCATGAGCTGAGCCTTGATGGACCAGGGGAGATGGGGCCGTCCGTATTTGGTCAGGACTATGTCGGCGCAAAGAGTGTATAAATCCTCCGTGTTAATAAGGAGACCGTCCATGTCAAACAGGCACGCCCGAATTGGGGGAAGGGTTTGAGAACCGACCCCAGAGATCGGTCCCGGACCCTGACTTTGATCCACAGTCACCATAACTGAAATAAGTAGGATAAAGTGATGAATGATTCGAATTTATAGATTACGTATAGTTAGCTGGGAATGTCCGGCGGCTCGTATTTTGCATTTGGTATTGGACCAAGTAGTAGGGTAAGTAAGATGCGAGATTGGGAACCGGTTACTCCCGCCGGGGTTTGATGGCTTTATTCGTTTAAGCTAGACTTGGCCGCCGGTGGCCGGAGGAGATCGGCTCAACTACTACTTATCCCAAGCTTTTTGGTTCGACTAAACATGCCACTGAAATAATGTATAGGAAGGGAGCTTGGAAAACTAGGAACTCGATTAGTTGCGCATTGGATGCCATCAACTATAGATGTTGTGCATGTTGATGAACTGCAAGGGCTTGTGTCTTGTTATTGGATAATCTGCGAGTTTCTGCATAAGACCCCTCACTCAACGGGGCCATCTATCTCACTGCTGCTGCTTGCTGCTGCTTGCTGAGGTAATTGACTTTGAGACTTTGAAGATATAAGAAGCTCGCGAGCCGTTGAATTAAACTCAACCCTATACACAACCTCTTTCTTCATATTACTTAAAGTTTGAGACGTTCATATAAATCACAATGGCTGGAATTACGAAACTTGAACTCCGGACAGCTCTTGGCCCGGTCTACCGAGATGTATTGCCGAATCCTCCTCGGGACTGTACGGCTGATGAGATCCCAATTATCGACTTGGCGCTTATGTTTTCCGAGAGGCTCTCCGACCGTAAAAGCGTCGCCGATAATGTCAGATCAGCTGCCACTAACAACGGCTTCTTCTATATCAAGAATCATGGTATACCGGAAGAAGTCATTGCTCAATGCAAGAAGCAAGTAGTCAACTTCATGAGACAGCCGCTAGAGAAGAAGATGCTAGTGGACTCTAGGTCACATAGCAAGTATTATAACGGATACCTTGGAAACCGGACGGCTCAAATCTCTCGCACCGAGAGTGTCGATGTCAGAGAGTCATTTTCATTTCGATATAGCCCAGAGATCGATCCAGATCATCCAATGGACATTTCTGAGCTTCCTGACGAGGTGAGATCATGGATTCGCGCAGAGGAGTTTGTTGTACGTATATTCTACCACCATTTATCTACTTTGAGTCGTACCCAATTAGCTGATTTTAGTGTTGTAGTGGGAGGGCACAAAGCATTTGCCGAGCTTCAAGGAGGACGCTCTCGCATATTGGAGGAGCTGCTTAACTCTAGCTAGAAGACTGGTCAGAGTATTTGCTCTTTCGCTGGACCTAGAAGAAGATTACTGGGACGACAAAGTCACACACCCAGGAGCAGATGCCGTCTTTAATTACTATCCGCCAAGGACTGTAGAAGAAGTTGAAAACAAGTTTGTTGGTCTAGGAAGTCACACAGACCTGCAGCTGTTTACGCTCTTGTGGCAAGACGGCGTAGGTGGTTTGCAGGTGCTGTCCAAAGAGGGACAATGGCTAAAGGTGAGACACGGATGGCATGAAGAGTCAACCGATGCTGACAGTTTCTGAAGGCACCTCCAATTGAAGGAACTCTCGTTGTCAACATTGGAGACTTCATGATGCGGCTCTGCAATGATATTTATAAGTCCACTGTCCACAGAGTCACAAATGAGTCCAATGGAGAACGCGTCTCTCTACCATTCTTCTTTGGTATATCACTATCCCGTCGGGTTCCTTGAGATATTCGCTCACTCGTTTGCTAGGTCTTAACTTCAACTGCGTCGAGGGCGTTGTTCCCTCGTGTACCTCGGAGAGTAATCCGGCCAAATATAAACCCATTTCTTGCGGTGACTGTAAGTTTCCACATCCAGCTTGAGGGTATCCCTAATTGATGAACTCTAGGGTGTCAGATGAGATTCAAGATTGTGAGAGATGACTTTCTCAAGAATCAAGAAGCCAAAAAAGCAGTGGCCCCAAGTGCTACTGTGGTGGCTATGTAGATTGGGCATTTCGCTTCTTCACCTGATCCTATTCGAGGCGAGGTTATGATTTCGCTTGTCCGATTTCTCAGCCATCTACAAGACCTTCTGAATGAGTTCGAGGACATCGAAGAATGCTTCGCGTTCAGGTTTAAGCGTTTTAATACCAAGTCCAACGACGAGGGTACGACGCTCGTCCGAGTTTCTCCTTGCGACGTGACTGGCGATTTGAACAGCATATAGCTGCGCTAAAGATTCACGCTCTTCGCCACCTCCGCCAAGTAATGTTTTGGGTGTTAGATGAGACAAGGGCAGCAAGTTAGAATTTGCCAAGGCCATGTCTACGCTGGCTGGTGATGGTGCCGACAATGGTACTTGAATCTAATCATTAAATTAACACTGCGGTTTGGGATATCGACTTAGTACATATGTATAGTAGTAATTTACCCATTGCGATAATCTACCCTCCTGAGATAGAGTAACAAGTATCTTGTCCGAAAAGTGCAGAACAGAAGCTTCGGTCGTTATTCCGTCGATAGATCCAGTAGCAGCTTTGGACTGAGCCGGGAATGATGCTTCGACTACTTGCGAGGCATCCATAATTAAAATGCGGAATTAAAAGACACTTAGCATATAAGATGTAGATACCTGAGGAGGCAATTTCTGGGATAGGTTGTAGTGTTAAACAATGGCTACGATGGGAGGAACTGTGGCTGGCATTTAAAAGGTAGGTGGTAGGTACCTAGGTATTGTGCTTGTGGCTTGCACTCTTGGATAGATGGGATCCGTTAGAGCAGGTCTATAGCTTATAAAGTGGAACACCTGATGCACCCCACGCTAACTCGATTTAATCTTCAGAAGAAATTCTGCCAGGCGGTCAAAATTTCAATATCATTTCTCTTCCTAGTACATCACTTAGGTCTCATCATCGACAAAAGTAAAAAGTAAAAATGCCAAAATTTGTGCCGCGTCAGAGGAAACACAAGGTCCTTGCGCGTGAGAAGGCGCTACAAAACGGCATCCAAGATGGTGGAGATGCATCCCCGCAGACGGACAGCAATGCGCTGGAGATTCTCCCGGGCGCTCAGAAAGCAGACCGCGAAGCTAGAAGAGCTCAGTTGAGAGATGAATTGAAGGGCGAAGTTAAGGTCAGCGGCAAAAAGGCCAAGCGCCTTGAGAAATATATCGACAATAAGCTCAAAAAGGACGAGAATCGAGTTCTCTTAGCTGAATTAGCTAAGAATAAGATTGACACAAGCTTATTCTCGAGTAGTCGAAGTCTTGGCCAGGGAAAAGAGACGAGGCGTCAGGGACTTAGTCGCGCTTTGAGGGAACGAAGAGCAGGCGTTGGCGAGGACGACGATGATGTCCTCTTCGAAACCAAGGATACTCTCGCGAGTGATGAATCAGAAGATGATTTTGAAGCATATTCAAAACCTGGCCTCTCTAAAAGTCGAGAAAGCGGATTTTCTCAGAATGCTGCGTCAGCAGTCAATGGTTCTACTGCCAGCGATACTAAAGTCGCCTTACCAGAAAAAGCAGCCGTCACTGTGGGGTCTGGATTAAAACGTCCTCTAGAATTAGACGACGAGGGGCGACCAGTTATACAAAAGAGACAGAGACGTGGTGGCGTAAAGTCAAAGGTGCATGCGAAGGCACAAATCATACTGCCCGAAATATCACCTGAGAATGCGGAAGAACGCATGGATGAGAATGACACTGGCGATGACGAGTGGAATGGGTTTAGTTCCGACGCGTCCGCCCACGGTTCAGCCAAGTCTCAAGAATCCTCAGAGGATGAGTCCGAGGAGGAAGAAGAAGAAGAAGAAGAAGAAGAAGAAGAAGAAGAAGAAGAAGAAGAAGCTACAGATCAAGAGTCAAGTAGCGATGATGAATCATCCGAAGAAGAGGATGACGTGTCGAAAAGGAAGGAGAGATCCTCGGCCTTTAAATCCTGGGCCCACGAACAGCGTAATGCAGCCCTTGGATACGAGCCCGTCGACAATAATAATTCGGTTTTGAATATTACGGTGCCCAAGGATTTCAAGCCACGGCCGTTGGAGCAAGACCCATTGCCCGTGGAATTACTTCCGACAAAGGACAGCGGGAGAAAGGCGTTTAGCGTCCCAGTTCAGAGGACATCTGAGATACAAGATGCGCGGCTTAAGCTACCGGTGGTAGCCGAGGAGCAGAAGATCATGGAAGCCATCCACAACAACAATGTAGTAGTAATTTGTGGTGCTACTGGATCAGGAAAAACAACACAAGTACCCCAGTTTCTATTTGAAGCTGGGTACGGCTCACCTAGCTCACCCACATCAGGCATGATCGGAGTGACACAACCACGAAAAGTCGCTGCGGTCAGTATGTCAAAGAGGGTTGGGCAAGAACTTGGTGATCGGTCAGACGCTGTTGCATACCAGATTCGATTCGAGGGCACGGTTGATGATAAGACAGCAGTTAAATTTATGACGGATGGTGTGCTTCTTCGTGAAGTCGCCAATGACATCTCCCTTCGCAAATATTCTGCCATCATTATTGATGAAGCTCACGAGAGGAGCGTCAACACAGATATTCTTATTGGGATGCTGAGCCGAGTCGTTAAGTTACGAGAGGAGATGTCTAACGAAGACCCCAAGTTAGCTCCACTGAAGTTAATTATCATGTCAGCTACTTTGCGAGTAGATGATTTCATAAAAAATCAAACTTTATTCCCAATACCGCCGCCGGTTCTTGACGTTGAGGGCCGACAACACACGGTTACTATGCACTTTTCTAGGCAGACCAGTCACGACTATGTCGACGAGGCCTTCAAGAAGATTATGAGAGGACATCGTAAGCTTCCGCCAGGTAGCTTCCTTGTCTTTCTTACTGGGCACGACGAAATACAAAGGCTGAGTAAGAAGCTCAAGCTTGCGACTGGTACTATGAATCCTATCGTATATCCAAAGGTCCGAATATCCGCCAACGACGCCCCTTTAGAAGTCGAGGATATCGACTTTGGAGAAACTAATGAAATAGCAAATGATGATTATGACCTACCATTTATTGACGAGGAATATGATAACGAAGACGATGGTGAATTCGACGTTTCGGAGGAAGTTGGTTCAGGACCCCTGAAGATGCACGTCTTACCCTTATACTCATTATTACCTACGAGAGAACAAATGCGAGTATTTGACGATCCACCTGAGGGCTCGCGTGCTATTATACTTGCAACAAACGTTGCCGAGACAAGTTTGACGATACCTGGCGTTCGCTATGTATTTGATTCAGGGCGGTCCAAAGAACGAAGATACAATAAGGAAACTGGAGTACAAAGCTACGAGATCGGCTGGATCAGCAAAGCTAGTGCGAATCAACGAGCTGGACGTGCTGGACGAACCGGTCCAGGTCACTGCTATCGGCTATACTCCTCTGCCGTATATGAGCGGGACTTCCCTGAGTTTGCCGACCCCGAATTGCTAAGAATGCCCATAGAAGGGGTAGTGCTGCAGCTCAAGGCAATGCGGCTGCAACACGTAGTCAACTTCCCCTTTCCTACACCACCGGAGCGGCAAAGCCTTGCTAAGGCTGAGAAACTGCTCCAGTACCTATCAGCCATAACCGAATCAGGACAAGCTACTCAAATTGGCCAGACGATGGCGAAGTTCCCTCTTCCACCCCGTTTTGCGCGCATCCTTCTGGTTGGGCATCTCCACGGCTGCTTGCCATATACCGTGGCACTTGTCGCAGGTCTATCTGTAGCAGAGGTGTTTATCCCAGAAAGCCAAGCAATACCAGTTCTAGCAACGGATCATGAGCACGACTTCCGCACCAACCAGGACGTAGCCGCGGAGAACCAGCAGATCCTAGCGCGACGTAAATACAACGAAGTTCACCGAAATTTCTGTTCGCTAGACGATAGTTCCGACGCCATCAAGCTCCTCCAAGTCGTCGGGGAATTCGCACACGACCCGACAGAACACTGGTGCGAGGACCACTTCGTGCGCTTCAAAGCACTCCAAGAAGCCCAAAAACTCCGCCGGCAGATCACAAGCCTACTTCAGAAAGACATCCCCGCATTCGCCAACCTGACTTTCAAAGAGAAGCTAGACCGACCCAGCCCAAAGCAAATCACAGCCTTAAAACAAATGGTCACCGCAGGCTTCATCGACCAAGTCGCCATCCGCGCCGACCTAGCCCCCTCCCCGCCCGAAATCTTCCGCAAACCCCGCCGCGCCATCGACGTCCCCTACGTGCCCCTCAAGCCCACCGAGTCGGACCCGCGCGACCCCTCAGCCGGCCTAGTATACATCCACCCGTCGTCCTCGCTCGCGCACCGCAGTCCCCAGGAGTGTCCCGAGTACATCGTATACACGAACCTACAGCGCGCCGCGGCCGACCCGTCTGCGCAAAAGACTCCCAAGACGAGGATGCTCGCGCTGACGGATGTTACGGGCGCGCAATTGGCCGCGCTGGCGAAAGGGACCCCGCTGCTTTCGTACGGCAAGCCGATTAAGGAGGTTCCGAGGACGGACGGCGCGAGGGAGTGCTGGGTTGTGCCGTATATGCGGGCCGAAGGAGCTGGTGGGTTGGGCTGGCCGTTGCCGGTGAGGAAGATTGTGCAGAGGAAAGTTCCTGGGAAGGGATGGGTTGCGGAATGATACGGCGGGGGTTGGATTATGCTGCTTTGGATTAGAGTAAGAGGGTAGGTGATTGTTGTGCTAGCGGGGAGAAATTCGCTGTTGTTGTGTATATAAAGGGAGTTAGTTGGTGACATTAAAGAGATAATATGTTTACGTTCTATGTTGGTCATTTACGCCTATAATACCTTAGGTAGTATTTATGAGAATGTATACGTGCTACGTGTTTCAACCATCTCGTCTAAATATAATTGACATATTTAAGCACGTTTAATATTGTCTATCCCGCTAGGCTCTCCCCTTAATCATAGCAGCAGACCATTGTACCGTACTAGGTGGTAGTAGGTATAAGAAATGAAAATTTAGTAATTATTAGCAAACGAACTATGCTCAACAGTGCTCAATAGAATACAGTAATCACCATCTCGCAAATTACAATCACCAAGCCAACACGTTCCGAATATTCATAACGCACACGCATCTATTCCGCACAGCGGCGATCTATAGTAAGCAAGCAGTCGATCGTGACGGACCATCTACTATACAGCGAATCCTCTGCGAATGCAAACGCCTCGTCTCGGCGTGATCCTCGTGCCCCATCTATATTGCGAGACTGCTAGTTCCCTAACGCCTTGAAATGCCAGACAGAACCGTTTGCTATGCTATCTAACTTGGGTTATGTTATGTTATGTCTTTGTCCGATGTGATAATACTGTCTTGCGGGGAAAGGCCATAATATCTTCTGATCATGCGGAAACGACGTCTATCCTGTGTCTACTAGTTCTGTTGCTTAGTGTTCTCGGTATGGTGGTGGTGGCGCCGTGGAGGGTCCGGGAAGAGCAGGGAGCGGTTGTTCATTGAGCGGAGGCGCTGATTCGCTTCCCAGTAGTCGAGTTACCTTCACCATCATTACGGGGAAGTATTGCTGGATAAACGACTCGCTATTTTATGTTAGCATATACCCGGAATGGTCGATATAGCTTAGGTCTACTTACGTGTAATAACTATGGTCTGCGTTATGCATCTGAACAAGGTTGTGAGCCAACTCGTGGGCTAGTACAACCCACCACCAGACAGAGGCGGCAGCTTTGCCTTGCCCTGACATATTCTCGGCGTGAAGCTGGATAAAGAAGCGTAGATTGCAGAAGATACTACCATCGCGATTGAAAGCAATCGTACCTCCCTCCTCATCGTAGAAAATGTGTAATGAGGAGCGGTTGATGGAATAAACCTCACCCACGTCGGAGAGTATTGACGCAAAGGAGTTGATGGACACGTGATTATTCGTAAGGAGCTGAGCAGGGTTAAGATTTGGTATCGTCCTTGATACGAATACGCGCATTCCGTTTGATGCATCCGCTACAAAATTGAGATCCTTTCCTATAGTGTCATCGCAATAAGTAGCTTGTTCCTTGACTTCTCGAGTCGTTGGCGGTGAATAAACTTGGGAAGAGTCGTGGGCTCTTGTAGACATGATGGCATTGAGAAGGTTCTGTTGGACTATGGCGGGGTTTGTGACCTTGCCGTCGTCCTTCTTGCCAGGCTTGGACCCCGACCCCGTTGAGGGCTCAGCCGGCGGTAACTTAGCTGGCTCTGGGTCTGACTCCATAAAGTTCCTCAGATTATCCTCCGCCTCGCTAGAGGTATCAAACCCGAATCGTTTAGAGAAATTCGAGAAGAAGCCCTTACTTCTCCTAGTCTGTTGTAGTGGCGTATTGGCCGGTGGCGGCGAGAGTGTTTCGCTGTCATCGGGAGATCCAAATCCGCCAGGCATGCGTGGCGGTGGCGTCCTATTCCCGCTCCTTGCAGCAGCAGCAGTAGCAGCAGCTTGAGTATGTCTTCTAAATTCTTCTTCTCGTTCCCTAATATTAGCCTGCTCAGCATCTAACGCCTTGCGCCTTTCTTCCTCTGCAATTCTAGCCTCAGCAGCCTTGGCTCTGAGGATGCGGTCGACATTGTATCCGCGGGCTCTCAGGTCAAGTAAATCAAGCTTCAGGAACGGCTCGAAGAAAAAGTAGGCTTGCTGACTTGGCCGATTTAGAATAAGCTGACATACTGCTTGTCCTACTTGATACATGTCGGGACGAGAAGATTCGGATGCAACATAAAGGATCCAGCCGTGGGCAGCTTTCAAACTCGCAGCTGACCTCTTTTCGGTGTGCGACTGACTTTGGCCACGAAGTGATCGGCGAAGCGAGACGGACCGTACGGCTTCTACAGTTAGATTCTTCTCGAGCCATCTCGCATCGTGCTTGATGGCATCCCGCGGGTATCTGGCATATTCGTGGATGAAGATCTTTGAACGTTCAAGAACATGCTTCCGAAGCCAAAGTGCGCCGTCCTGTTTCTCACTCTGCGGTCCAACTCTGAGATCCTCCTGAACAATAGCGGAGAGGGTTTGGGAGCCGAGAGCCATGTAGAAGGCTTCCAAGGCGTCTTCCTCTGGCGCACAGATCAAGTGATCTTTAAACAAGCGGTAGCTAATGTAATCGTCTAAGATAACAATGCTAGCCGGGGTCGCAAGTTGATATGATCTGATTGGTGCCTCGTCTTCCTCGGTTTCCGATGTTTTGTCTTTAGCGGGCGCGCTGATCTCTTTAAACGCAAGGAGAAATGGAGAAGATTTCATCTTCCTCCATAGCTCCTTGTCTCTTTTAAGAGTTGCCGTCTCTTCAGCTAACAGTTTCAAAACGCTCAGGTATTTTTCTGAGCTTTGAAGAACACTAAGCAGCCTAGCAGGTTCGTCTGCTGCTAGCTGCGCAATTTCTAGTTTAGTTGGCTCAGTCTTCGAACCACACGCCGATAGAAATGCATTCGCAGAGCTGCCAAAGTCGACAAAGTCAAAGATATCTCCGTACATCGTTGAGCTACCCAGATAGCATTGTCGGGGACTGAGGTGGACAACATTTCCTGCTTTCCCATCTTTGTCTGTCGCCATCCGGGAGGTTGCTAACTCTTTTCTACGCACTATAGGTACGATAAGAGCTTCCCGAAGCTTTGCAATCGTGCTACCATTAAGCTCGTTTAGGCGAGTAGCAAAATAGCCAAATAGTGAGACAGCATCCTGGTGGGTTGAGGGAGGTTTGGCTAATAACCGCTCAATGCATTCATAAATAGGGGGGTCCGCAACCACGCCGAATTTCTAGGTTGCAATTAGTAAAATATCCTATAAAAGACTAGAATGGTAAATGAGGTGTTTAGACTTACGGGGGCATGTGCATGGAGATCACTACGTAATATGTGAAAACCTAACATGGCAGCAGCCTCATTTGTAAAACATTGAGACGGACTCGCGAGCTGCTGAGCATCTCCCTGCAAGGGGAGGAAGGCTTTGGTCGATGCCCCAATATTGGAAGATGCGTACTGATTGCTATGGTGGTAAGAGATAAAATAGTTCATAGCATTAGCCCTTAGTGTTGAATTGGACGAAGCCATCATGACGACAATTATAGAAGCTGGAGGATATGGACGAAGGCCAAGATCAATTAAAAACTTCCCTTCGGCGCTTCCAGGCCGTAGGTTGCCACCCGGCCATTGAATGAGACTGAGTCCAAGCGATCGAAGCGGGCCTTTAGGTTCATAGAGATCAGAGACTTTATACAGTTGTGAACTTGCTTTTGTTGACTCTAGACCGTAGGGTCCATCTTCTGCTGGACAAATACGTGACTCCTTCAGTTTTCTCAGATCATCCTTTGGGATGTCTTGCCGTACTGATGCCAAATATTTGATAAGTTCGACATGACTCCATTTTACTTGTCCAGAATCATCAGCCTCTGCTGAACGATTGAGCAACCGTGTGAAGATCGTATCCAGATCGACGGTTTTTCTGACTCCGATAGCGGTGAGAAATTTATCCTTAAGCGAGGAGCATCCCTCAATAGTTGGAAGATCATCGAACAGTTTCACACTCTGGAAGAATGACTCTGTTGGCTTCCTCATACCCAACTTGGTGGGCATAACGGTATGGTTCTGGAGCAATGACGCAACGGTTCCCTTGGAACCCTGGCTGAGATTGTCCCAGCTTTTTGACAATACCGTGAGGATTTGTACCGAAAACTTAGGGGACTTGGTTAAGTTCTGCTCATCCGACCTCCTTGAACCAGTTTCAATCAGGAACCGAAGCCAAGGAACAATTTCAAGGGATTCCCACCCTAGAGCTTGCAGCTGAGCCGAAGTACAGTGCTTGGTAAAATCGTAAGGCAGAGTGGTCGGCGGGATTGGCAAACCTGCTGGTATCTTATTTGGACTAATATAATTCTTGATGTTTCCTAGGGCGATAATACCGCCTTGCTCGTCAGCCCCCTCAGCAACGAGGCCAACTGCAACATCAAGAAGTCTGTCTCTACTCGGTAAGTCAAGCTCGCCTTGAGTAGCCTTCTTACTGGCCCAATCTATGAAGCTGATGAGCTGACTCTTATTAAGCGGGTTTCCAGATAGTTCAATCCGGACATCGTCGACAGTTATGGCAGAAAGTAAATCAAATTCGACCAATTTCTGAATGAAGCCAGTGGATCCAAGTTCGGGGGGGATTACCGGGATGCCGTCGACAAATTTAGCAAGCTCTTCTGAACCGAGTCGAACCTTGTTAGTAGGAAGAACGCCTCGACTACTGTAGACTTCTACGAAGGGCTTTTTGTATGATGTCCAGAATGCTTCCTCAATTATCTGCGAAACGTGACCACTGGGCGTAGAATCTCCGAATGTGAAAGCCTTTAGTGTATGTAATGCTTCTGGCATATATTTGGCGACCTCTTTCGATGTGATGCGGGCGTTCGATGTCTCCGCAGCCCGTTGTAATTTGGTCTGCAACTCGGCCATCTCATTCGAAAAAGCAAGCCGGGTCATGATACCAGCAGCTCGGAGCATTTCAATATTCCACGTCCTGACCCATCTTGCATTTAAATCAATAGCCTCCCGTTCTACAGTAGGTATGACAGAGGGCGCTGAGATATGAATGCCAGCACCAGTCGTCTGGGTGGTTGGGAACCCAATGAAGATCCGTCCGCCTTTCTTGCTCGGCAATACGGAGGCAAATACATTGGTGGCCTTAGAAACAGCTTTAGAGCTCGTAGAACTCTGCGAGGCTTGCGTTTCATCGTACGAGGATGTCAATACTGACAACTTAGCTAGCTTTGGCGGAGGCTTTTTGGTGGCCCGCTCCAGCTCTGCTGAGAAATTAGCAGTGACGGACGTCTTGATCGCAGCAGTAGTCACCCTAAGAAATATGCTGCTTGACGATAATGTAGTTATGTCTTCAGAGATGGCGTCTTGGGCAAGCTTCTCTTCTTTTGCCACTTTGTTAGCCTTCGTTGTGGTGGGATTGGCGGTGAGCCTAGAAAAGAAACTCCGTAAAGACGGCATCTCTGAGCTACCTAACCCGTAAGCCTCGCTCTTGGCCGTTGCTGCTACTTCGGGTTTCCATCCGATGGCGCCCATGAATGAGGCATCTATCTGTGCGCTCGCACGTTCAACGCTCTGAACCTTCATGAGACGTTCTTTGGTAGTAGTTTCGACATCTTTTGACAACGCAACGTCGACGCTGGGACTAGTTTTCTTTTGTAGATGGAGGAGTTTGTAGTCATCGATCCAGAATTCAATATTCTGGAGCGCTACGAATGTTAAACTTGTAGCTAAGAACTGACTGACAGACAGCAGATTTGGTAAAGTTGTCGTCGTATTTCGATAGTCTAGAACGAAGGCTGTATCTGAGCTGTGCTGGTCTTCAGGGACCTGTAGTTTTCTCGTGAAGAGAGCATTCCCTTTCCAATAGAAGGCCATAGCCTCGCGACCCGAGCTGACAAAGGGTTCCTCACAATCCGCGAAGACACTATAGAATCCTACACCAAAGGCGCCAATCTTAGTCTCGTCAGGATTGCCCTCGGCGATCCTCTTCAACCTTCCCCAGTCAGTCTTTGTAAATGGTTGGCCATTGTTCTGGACGACGAGTCGCTTGAGGGTATGATTTGCGATTACGTGCTTCAGGATCTCGGATCGATCTGTAGTAGGCGGTAGAGGAACTTGAGTCGAGGGTAGGGTTTCCCACTTTATCTTCACGGTAGTGGCTTGGGCGTCGGCGGCATTTTGAATAAGCTCCCGCAATGTTGTCCACTCGCCCGAGTATCTCGCTAGAACCTTGTCGATTAAAGCTCGAGTATCAACGGTTACGGCTTCCTCATCCTCGCCGTCCCGTAAGGCAGCGGCTCGGAGCTTTCCATAATCCATTGTTACGGTTAGTAAAGTAGATAGTTGCTCAAGAGGACATAATAATTAAAAAAGGTGGTTGTGATTTGTACTCTGGAGAAAGAAAGAGAACAAGGTAGGTATTTATTGAGTCGAGGAAGACATGTCCCGTAAACAAGAGGCGCGTGGTTTGGTTTTGGTTTTGGTTTGCGGAATATCAGGTAGTCATCCAATCCAGCAGTGGCAATTGCTGAGGTTACGGCTGCGGCAAAGACCTGCGTAAGGCATTAGCTCTTTGGCAAGTTACTCAGGTAATTTCTAGAATAAATAACATGCAAACAATAAACATGTAAACGATAAAATGAACTAAATCTCGGTGACACTGAACAAACGCATGCACGCGACAAAGACACCAGACTTGTATTCATAAAGTATGTATGTACACTGTGAAGTCGAGGGGGTTTGAAAGCCTCTTGATTCGTCTCAGCTTTTTGGTATTGTATTGTACATGTAATGATGCACGTCTAGCCCCAGCTTTACAGGTTTAGGGGATTGATAGGTCCGAAAATAGGTACCTACATACATGTACCCGTAGTAAACCCCACTTAACTCCGCATGTTCATGTACCTGGACAACCAGTTACATCTGTAAACATTGGAAACCTCCTGCAGCTTTAGCTTCCATATGCTCCAGGTACGTCCTTCCTTCCTATGTCAGCTCCGTGCTACCAGTTCTTGGGCTGTTTACAAACACATAATACGTAGGTAGGTAGGTACCTAGGCAATATGTACCTACTAGACATTTCTTTGTAAAGACTGTTCTTTGTAAACTCGAGAATAATCTCGTAAATATAAGACACCTCATTAATCTTCATTAAGTAACTCCTAAACAAACTAGACCCATCTAGCTAGTAGGTCATGATAACCTTTAACATTACTATGTAGCATTAATCGCCAACTGAACATTCGGTCGAGCAAAATGATACGGTATAGTTATGGCTTATGTAGTTCGTTTTATGATTTTCGATGGTGATCGCCTGGGGAATTCCTTCTCTCACGTCGCTGGGGGCTTTCATTTCGCCGTGGCCGTCTATCTCTTGATCTAGGCCTAAAACTTTCTTTCCTATCTCTCCTCTGCTCAACCCCCCCGGGGCTCCGAGAGCGGATATGTTCTCGTCGGTGAGATATTCTGTGTTTATCGTCCCCCCGCTCTAGACTATAACTTCTTCGCCTCCGATGATCGTGTCTGTCATCCTTTTCATCTCTTGATCTATGACTATGGTGTTCACTTTTTCTCCTTGGCGATCTGTCCCGATGTCTCTCTCGACTACGGCTTCTGCTCCTATGTCTCCTCCGGTGGTGCCGTCCAGAGTCGTGTTGCTTTGTGGACGTTTGCTGGGCGTCGTTGGGTAACCGTTTAGTATCCGCCGGGGTAGCAGCAGAATCTCCATTGTCCATCGCACCTCTTCCTTTGCTTACATCTATAGCATTTGCACCTGTCACCTTTCGGGGAGCAACAGGCAAACCTAACGCACGAGCTAGCGCATCTTCTTCTGCTTCTTTAATTCGTTTGAGCTCTTCTTTTCGCTCCCGGGCCGCCCTTTCCTGCTCCGTCTCTGTAGATGATGCTTCCGACGCATCAGCTTTCGCGTACCAAGTAAGATCTTTGCCTTTCGCCCAACGACCGACCGGGGCTTTCAGACTATGACCGAGGTAGTTCTCGCGGTGGTTCGAAGTGGCGACATCCTCCCAATTGAAGTTGACCCCGCCGCGCGAGCCCGTCTTGCGGATGCTCGAGACAAGATCCATGGCGATTAATCGGCCGGTTGTAGAGTTGGATTATGTTAGGATCAATATTTCTTAAGAAGTCTTGCGAAGTGATGTGAAGGTATTACTGGCGATAGAGATGGGAGTGCGGGTGGATAATTGAAGTGGAAGAATATTAATTGAATCAAGGATAGCTTAGGTAGGTAGATATGTACTATGTACCTAAATATGTACACCCTGCATTAACAGCCCCACTTGTCGCCATTAGGGTGGAACTGTACTTCGTAGTACATAGGTACCGCTCTAACACTATCGATAAGAGCTTCCCGCAATCCACTCCAAGACGTAAAGTTACGTACAAGGTTGGAATCTAACCTACCAACTTCTCTCTTTCGAGCTTCCGACTTACTTCTCATTTCCTAGTCAAGACCGGCCTAACGGGAAATCGACAAAGATGGCGACGAGCAACGAGCCGTTAGACGAGATTCAATGGCGCCATCCAAACTACGCGCAGACCTTAGGAGGCCTACATTCCAACAATATACTCTTCTACTTCGCCGAGTCTCCGTTCTTCGATCGTACTTCCAACAATGCCGTTCTCTTTACTCAAGCCACATTTAACGAGAACATGAAATTCATAATATCGACCCGTGAGCAATTTGAGGGTCGTCTCAAACAAATGTCAGGGCTGGAGTATATAGTCGCCCAGGAGCCTGCCGAGTCGGGTCCCGGCATGGGGACTGGAGTCTGGGTCATCCACAAGCAGACGCGTCGCAAGCGGGATCCCGAGGACGAGGTCACTGTGCATGCGGCGTATTATGTCATCGGGGAAAATGTCTATATGGCACCAACACTTGCTGATATCTTGAGTTTCCGCATGGTATTTATCCCATATATTACTCTTCTCATTTACAAATATGTAAGTCTAACATTTGTTTTCTAGGTTACCATCTCATCAGCTTTGAGCAAATGTTTCGCGGCTGCAGATAACGCACGAACATGGTCGCCTGCCCTCGGACATATGTACAAGACAGCACCGAGTACTACAAACAATAGAGCACAAGCACTAGAGTCGAAAGGAGCGACGCCAATGCCCGAGGTACAAGGAAATAAGGCAGCCCCAGAATCAAAGAAGACGACTCAATCAGTAGCCGTGGACTCTCGCTTAGCCGAGCATTCATTCATGATCCATATGCAGTACGGTGGTGACTACATGGATGAGAACCCCATCACTGGTAAACCCGGTGAATTCCACCTCACATCCACAGGGCGCAAAGAAAAACTCCAAACATTAGCTTTGCCGAATCTCGACACGTCTTTCAAGAGCTCTGCGATTACTCAGCCGGATAAGAAGGACACGAAGGGTGATAAGACGCCAAAGACCCCTACAGGAATGCCGTCTAAATCCAGGCGGAAGAAGAGTAAAGCTGGTGCCACCCCAACTTCTGCGTAGAACGCCGAAGATGGTAAAGGTAGTAAAAAGAAACGGAAGTCAAAGGGCTCTTCTCCTAATGTATAGAGGGTTTTGCGATAGGTCGGCGTTTAGGGGACCAAGTAACCGGATATTGATACCCCCAGCTATAGGTATAGTCACAGATATTTGACTTTGGCGACAGACTAATTCTAGTCTCAGGTCAGTGCCGTAATATGAACTCGATGTTTAAACGATTTTAAGTGGCCTGATGGTGTGTGTCCTATCTTCAAGTCTTAGAACTTTATGCCAAGACCAAAACAACACGAGACGGAAAACGAGCATGGCAACAATAAGGGGTAAGCAAATTACCAAGCCTGCTTCTACTACATACATTACAGACTATCCAACAAATCCGATAACGGCTACAAATCAACCCATCTTCACCTCCACGGCACTATACGGTTTCTCTGTTTTACCACTCCCATAGCTCACTCCCCTCGTCATCATCGGGCTTTCCGTAGCTCTGGACCCATCGTGCAGCATGACCGAGTTCATCTCGCTCAGCTGGACCTCCTCGCCGGCCCGAGGCCGCATCTCGCTCTCGTACGCGTCGATCAGTTCAGCCTGCGACCGGCCTTCGGGGTTGGCTAGTAACTTGACCAAGTTGTAGACGTCGGCGAGACCGTGGCTTAGCCCTTGTCCACGGTCTAGATGAAGCGTGTTACGTTAGTGTTCAACTTCTTTTTCTGGGAATGACTATGGAGACGTCTGGAGTTGTGGCAGTCATGGGAAAGGGATAGGAAGTCAACTTACGATATGTCATAGGGTGCGCCGCGTCACCCACCAGCGTAACGAGACCGCCGTGGTTATCCCACTTATGCTCCGGCAAGGTCGGGTCCCAATTCGACAGGCCGACCCAGTAGACCCCCTCGTGGTCATCAGGTAGCAACTCAAAACATCTGCGTATGGGGTTCGCAAACGCCTTGCTCTTCTCCTTGGCCTGGCGCAGCCGATCGCGAATGCTCATCCCCGCCGCCACTTCTGCAGCCTGCTCCTCAAGACTGCTCGGCCACGCGACGTAGAAGGTGAACCGCCACTTCTCGGGATGGTCCTTCTCGATCCCGTCCATCAGCGTCAGCGCGCCGAGCATGTTGTCCGGGTGCGGCCAGAGACTAACCAGTGCGTTGCCGGCGATTTTCCGCAGAGCCACGGCATACTCGGCCGAGAACGAAGCGGTGATGAAGGTCGCTACGAGAGGCAGCCGCTTGACTGCGGCACGCTCAACGCCGACTAGTTCTCTGCGAACTTTGCTCTGGCTTCCATCAGCACCGATGAGCAGACGGCCCGTCTCCGAGGTCCCGTCCGAGAAGTACGCCGTGACGCTCTTGCCGTCGTCCGCGTACGAGATGCGCTCGAACTTTTTGTTGTAGCGCAGGTCTGGGAGGCCTTCGGCGGCGAACTTGCGCAGACGCGATCGCAGGACGCGGCATAGATTTTCCGCGGGTTTCTCTGTCAAAATCTCTCCTGTCTTACCGTTGAGTATGGGGAAGTACTCGAGCTGTGCGGGTTTGAGATAGGGATCGACCATTGTCTCGTCTATACGGCTCCATTTCTCCTCTCCCACCATGGACTCCAGGAGCGCGGTGGCCCAGTGCAGAGCGATTCCCCAGTCTCGTCCACTGATAGGTTAAAGAACACTGTGTTAGTCTCTGATATACTGTCATCTTTTGAAAAGGGAAGTCGTCCACGAGATTATTTTGCTTACTAGTAATTATTAGTTATTACACATAAGATAACACGAAAATAGAGGGAAAATAGGAGTACGGGTATCAAAACGTTGTGCTTTTATACATACCCTTCGCGGGACGAGTGTCCCATCTCTCTCAAAGACTATAGAACGGATGCCCTTCTAGTCGTATATTAGTAAGAGGATCGCCAGAAAGGTATATTCCTAGAGTGAGGGAGAGCATAATCTACCACGTGAAGAGCGTGAGCTAGAACCAATCCATTACAGCCTAGTAGGGTAGAGTATATATTAGTACTGCAATAGTTATTTTGGAAACATCTCATCGCGACAGGGGCTCTCTTACCGCCGCCAATAATAAGAATCGGCAGGTCCGCTTGTTTACCATTTTCTGCCATGATGGTATATTCGACGAAAGCAGCGTTCTTATTAGTCTAAATGTGAAGTGTTTAAATGTGTGTAAATGCGATATCGAATAAACTCGTAGATAGAACTTTGGAATGTTTTATAAGCAAGAGAGTTGAGTGACTGTTATCCGCAATTCGATGCGGAGTTAATAGCAAAATCCATCTCGTCCAGGTATGTCCTTTGAATATTCATCCGACTCCGCGATATGATATCCCTATACTCGAGTTCGCCGTCTGTCGTTGGTAACTTTCCAAGGACGAGACACAAGGCCTCGCGCTGAAAAGAGTTACATCCGGCTACTCTACCCATCCACAAGTCATGCCCGCGATCTGCCCGGAAACCGAAGTGGAGTTCACCCCTGATGTAATTATGGTTAACATCCAATGAAGAGCTGTTGGACTCTCATATCATTCGCCCTTCGCATCCTTGCAACAGGCGCGAGGGCACAAAACCTTCTATTCGAACTCTTCGGATCATTAGCGAAGAAGGTCTGCTGCCACGAGATCGAACGACGGGGACGATTTCGCGTCTACGATGACACGAAGAGGTGGGGTACAGACCGCTTCACAGGCCATTCACGGTTACAATTAAACGCCTGCAGACTTCACGACGAAAGATGTTTCCCGATTTGGATAAACTGCCTTATAAGTACGGTAGATCAGATGCTCGATGCTACGCCTTATTCGAGATACCTGAGAAACAGTATACCGTTTACCCGGAAAGCAAGTTTGATTTTGCGGGTTCTGATTTTCTAGCTGCATTGCAGCTGATGCATGGTGTACTGTGATCGGATAGACTTTGTCTATAGCTTTACCACAAGTTGTGAACCCTCGAACTAGATCACATATTATAGTACTAAAATAACCAAACCGGCTAGAGGTGCCGATAACTACCAATATTACGTCAATCATATACCTCTATTAAATTAATCAGACTGATTAACGAGCGGGTTTTATTAAAATATCGCCGTTAAATCCGATGGTAACGAATGTGATGGTGCATGTATTAGCCTCATCGTACCATTAAGCTTTGATGCTGAGAACAAATCTGATATTGCTAACGAGCTACCAGGCTTCTGGACGCGATATGTTCATTGTGATCCTGTTGCAGAATATCATAGGAATTTATCATTACGGGTATAAGAAAATAACCGGAATTAACTGTGTAAGACGACATATCTACTAGCCTAGAGTCTAGTAGTAGTGTCTATACCAAAGCTCTTTGCGCAACACAAGTAGTAGGTAGGTAGGTATGTTAAATCAATGACACGTGCCACTCTTAAGCTGAAGAGTATAATTCGTATATGACGTGGCATTACAGGAACTATTACTCTTTTCAACAACATTGACTCTCCGAATATATACCGGATGTAACATGATAAGTTCTACCTATGGAGTCAAGTGACTTTAACTACCTAGGTAGACATCCGGCAACGTTGAATATACTACCGATATGAGATAATACTGAGTAGCACCTAATAATGGAGAGGATTGTTATAAGAAGTCATACCTATACCTGTAGGAGACCAACAGCTTCGATAGCTCTCAAACGCCGAGATAATGGTATTATTCATCTATCCTCTATAAGAATACTCAAAAGACTTTACCATCAGATATCCTTTGAGGTTCAAGTCTATAACTTTTTCCTTTCTTCACTTCGTTCCCCCTTTTATTCTCTTAAATTAGCCTACTCCCTCTATAGTGCTCGCTTCTTTTTCTCGGCGTGTAAAATGATTCATACCTACCTTACATAGGTACCTAAGGTATGGTAGGACCGGGATAATGCGCAAGTAGAATACGGTGTAAGCTGCAAATGATGCAAGGTTCTTTCTAAAATTACAAGAAGTACTGGCAGGCATCCTTTTCAACAGCAGGCTTTTTAATTCACTTGAAGAATTGCGTCAAAGCTCAAGATCTGTGGGCTAGGAGTCAAAAAGGAACGAGGCCTGTTTAAGAGCCCAAGTTATCACCCCACTGTGGCTACACTATTAAAGATAAATGCAGGGCTAGCCATGCTATCTTATTTATATACTCATTTAGATAGACAGCTAGAACTTACTTCCCTAATCATAGAATATACGTACTACTACTACATTTACTTACATGATACCTTCACTCTTTAGTGTCTCTTAATACGGCGCCTAGCGCCGTTGCCCCTTATTGGTAAGCCTTGGGGAAGCTTACCATAGCCGCGTTAACGGCTGCTTAAGATCCTGTATAAACCGCAACATATACAAATGAACTATGCTCTGATGAACTACCTAGGGAGATAATATGACACGAAATTCAACGGATTAGGGTAATTTATTAGTCCGCTATAGAAAATATTATATAATAAGGAGACAAGGTGCTATAAATTCCCATGCAATGGATAACTAGACTTAAACTAGCTAGCGACGTCGCTGTGATGTCTTACTCGTTACGATCTAACCGTACAATGGCCTGCTCATCCGCCGTGATACTATTGGGTGCTATAGAACGCGAAGTGATACTCCCTTAGAAAAAAGAGACGCAGCACCAATCTATCCTACTCTGTCTGGCGGACGAACGCCAACGGCATTAGCCGACCCCACCAGCCACAAGGGTTGAACCGCCAGGCGCCGTTACCAGCACCAAACCAGTACTTAACAAGGTAAGGCATAATCCACGGTAGAGGAGGGAACGGATGTCCGCATTCATAGGTCTTATCGGCGCATTCAATTACTTCTCCATGCCACCATGGGATAGTTCGTGCTGGTGATGAGGGTTGTCCATCAATGCTGGCTGGCCCGCAACTTTTTCAATCTCGGGGAAAATAAACGACTCTTCAGCCCAATGGTGATGTCCAACCATGAATGGACGTAGAAGAGAAGGTCTTTCACATTCTTCGCATTATATGTCTTTTTCGTCGAGGTAGGCACATATGAAGCCTACTAGATGATAATATTGAGTCCCCGTATAATAACATTGTGGGCATCTGCCATGTCAGAAGTGACATGGACGTAAGAATGGGAATCCTAGTGGCTGGTTAGCTAACTGCAATTATTACTTCCTCGTCATTGTCGGCATTTACGCTAAAGTATGTCGAAGGAGTTGTGATCAGGTGAAAGGGTTCATCTATCCAGGGTGCTGATGATGGCTTCATCGTCACGATATGATATTGAATAACTGCTAGAAATTAAAATGCTGATGTGAAAATGAAGTTCGAACTGGGGAGGTGCAATTTAGGTGTGTAAAGCAACGACTCTATTGCAAAATATTCGTTGTTTACGTGAAATAAACTGTCTTATCTTAGAAACTCACCCTAGTTACTATTTAAATGTTACTTATTTTTGATACCCTTTGGCTAGCAACTACCCTCCATACTTTTGTGTAGTATACCAATCTTGCTGTCGCCCAATGGCACTACGGGGGAAAGTAACTTAACAAGCCATTGCAATACTTATAATTGGCTTATCAAGCACTGCACGAATCATGTTACGTACGTGAAGGTACTGTAATTGCAAGGGATTGCTATTTCTTGTATATTGTCTTTGTGCAACTCATCAACAACTTACTGCTCTTGGCTCCCTTGCTTCATATCTGAATGGCATGTTGCCTTGTATGAAATTAACCGTTTTTTGTAAAACAATTAAGGACTTTAAAGTAATATGTATTTTATTATACCTTATATCTATATTTCCTTATAGAAAGGATTATAAAGATTTTTTCTGAACTTTTACATTAGAGGAATTGTTGTTGTAAAATCACCGAAGGTACTTAATAAATAACGTCAATTGTGAATGAATTTAATACGTTTAAGGGGTTAGGTGTCAAATATAACTACCTATGCAGCTGCCGAGACATATGATAGGGGGTCATCCGTATAGTGAGTGTATATTTAATCTTCGTTTGTAACACAACTTTCTTAGCTACTTGTTGTTATTGTGCTAATAAGTACTTAAATTACTATATTACTATTATTGACATATGGAAATATTAAGACTCAGTTTTGCGTGAAGCAATAGGGTTTATGAGGCATAATAGTTGAGTATTTTAATTGTGTTGTTAAGGTCTTGGTTAGTTCTTTCTGCTATGGCAATAGCGATTTTGTAGGCTATATAACACCTTTAAAGATCCAACAACAATTTAAGGCTCCCAATACCTAGAGTATTTTGTATATGAACCTTTTAATTCAGCTTGATAAACAGCGCTAATGTACTAAGTAAGCTTTAAACCAAATTTGTAGTTATTAATATCACTAACTAGGTACCTACCATAGCGGGGTAGGGTGGGTACAAAGAACTGTTCCATAATTGAAAAGCGTTCCCTATAATCCATGCATACCCTAACAGCTACCCCGTTCCCTATATAAGAATAATTCTCAAAAAGAGAACGTTCTCAAAATTAAGGGCATTCCCTGAAAAGTGGGTCTAAAAGGCGCTAAAAAGGCTAAAAAAGTCAAAAAAGTTAAAAAGCGTGGTCCTCGAACCCATAGCTTTTACATTTATATAAACGTTAAATCCCTTAGTAGGGGTTTAAAGTTTTAACAATTAAACTAATGGAATAAAATAGCTAATTTTATCAAATTAAAATTATTTTTAAAAATTTAATTGTTTTTAGGCCTTATAACCTTTACTTTAATAATAATATTTTATTATAAAAATTTTATTTAAAAAAATTTTTTTTTTTTTTAAGTAAAATCTAACCAAAATTAATAAAAATGATTCCTAAAAAGGGAACGGTTCTTTTAGGGGAAACAATTTTATACGTATCGAACGGCAGTAGTAAAATTTTAAAAACCGGGATCCATTATTCCTGGATTTCAGCCAATAAAATGCCGGGAATCAAAGGAACGTTCCCTAATAGAGAACCGTTCCCCATAAAGAACAGTTCTCTGAAACCCCCCATTTCCGCTATGGTAGTTAACTAAGGATTCAGAACGTTCTCCTTATTTGAGTAACCACGTATAAATGCATTACAAATACACTACGACCTTTTATAATAATTATTCCCTTTATAATAACCATGTAATATATGGCTTTCATTCCGACTGGCCCAAGATTACTAATTTGCTGGTGGCTAAGCGCCTTAAAGCGAACATGCTTAGCTATAGTTTTTAGATTGGATCTCCAAGTTAGTTATCCTGGGAGGAATCATGTGGTGGGTCATTCGAGAACAAATCAGCTGCCAAATTGAGATTGTTAACTGGTTCTCATTGTGCGTAGTCAAGGCAAGTGGCTAATAAGGGGTATTAAAGGTTATTATTGTCTAGGCAGGTAGTTAACAGTTCGGCGGCTAATTCCAACGCCGAAAAAAAGTACTGCTACCAAACCCCACCTATTAATCAGTGATTAATGTTATATAGGCCTAGTGCAAATGTCATCCTCCGTGTATCATTTTCCTTTAAATCCACAATAATACATAGGCCAACTTCTATTCTATAGACTTCTCTACAACCAGAAGATACAATTACCGCTACCACATCTGAACTGAAACTAGTGTCAAGTATATCACTATCCAAGCCAGGGTGTTTAACACTTATTCAATAACGGGCATATTCCTAAACCTCTAAGATATCCTTCCTTCTTTAATGTAGTACGAGGATAATTATCGCGAAACTTGGCATCACACACACTCTGATCTAAGCTTATCTAATCCTGACAATATGAGATATACTCGGTACCTAGGTAGTCAATTCTATTAACACACAGTGTCGATTAGTTGCAGATTAATATTCGGGGAATAATATGGTTTGTATATTTCAAGTCCTAAACTTTTGCTAGGTACCTCCTTAGGTAGTACCACGGTAGGTAAACCCCATACACTATTGAACTATTGAATGAAGCAGTACGGTAGAGACCAATGAAACAGAGACAACGAAAGCTAAGTCATTATTCATATAGGAGCCTATTCGCCATTCCTATTCACGTTACCAGGGCCACCGTCATATGTATTACTATGCTTATTCCAGTTCGTCATACATACCCCTTATATTCCATCCCGCAGTCACCAACGCCGAGCCATCTCATCTGCTGCACGGCACAAATACTCGGCAGTAAATCCAGCCATCAGAGCGCCACCGACGATCCAGAACTGATCATGGAACCAAGCTCCGCAGCTCTGCGGATCTCCCAGGTCTACGCTGTAGATATACCACGACATAGCTGCGGCAACGCCTCCCACGGTCCCGACGTAGTAGAGCGTGCCGCTACCTGTCCACACTCCGCATAGCGTGAGTAAAGCAACCATGACTACGGCTAAACTACTTGCGAGGAATTTAGTGCTGTTCCTAAAGCGCAGGGCCATGCTCTTGACACCAGCCTTCTCGTCGTCTTTGACGTCCTGGTGCGCGTAGATGGTGTCGTAGATGATAGTCCACAAGACATTGGCGGCAAAAAGAGCGGAAGTCGGGGCGGCGTATACGCCGAACGGGTCTACGTCTAGTGCGGCGGCGCAGAAGAAAATAGCCCAGGCGAAGGGGAAACCGAGGAAGACCTGGGGATAGTACGTCACGCGCTTCATGAGCGCGTAGACGAAAAACAGCACTACGCTGATTGCCATGTGCAGTTTACACCCCGACGGGAACAGGTTCAAGATGGGGTAGATAGCTGCCAGCAGCGCTAGAGTGAAGACGTGCGCTGAAGCAGTTGAGACGGCACCGCGCGCCACAGGCCGGTGGCGACAGCGCTCTACCTGTCTGTCGAAGTCCTGATCGACAGTGTCGTTCCAACAGCAAGCAGCGCCACGCAGGAGGATATTCATGGGCAAGAATATCGCCGCCAGTTGCAGTACGACGAGGGGCTCAGGGGCAGCAGGGGAAATACAAGCAGCGTACATGAGTCCGATTAGGTAGGGGAAGTAGAAGGCATACAGGCCTGCGGGCCGCTCTAGACGCATAAGCTGAGCATAGGGGATCCATGACCGTGGAAGCCATGACACGAATCCTGTTGTAGGGTCTGAGTACGGCGGGAGGTCAGCGAAGAGGGCGGCTTGTTTCTCCTCGACGTGCCCAGGCACGAGAGGAGTCTTAGAGGAGGCGGCAGCAGCCATGGGCAGATTCCGGACTTTGGTCGAGCTTGACTTTGGGGGCGGAAATAGTAGTTTTATCGATTCTCTCATAAGTTGCTAGAGCGTGATATCAAAGAAAAGTTTACCACCGTAGGGTTCAGCGAAGCTAACATGCTATAAATAAGACGAAAGTGAAGAAACAAAAGACCGGCGAACGATAGATTTACCGCTTCTGTTGATATGATCTAGTTTCGACGTAGTATAGGTCGTACAGATAGGAATACCAAATCCTGCATCTTGTTGAGTAGCCAATGGAAGGACCCTTGCGCATGTTTATCCCACATAGTACATCGCAAGTTCTGTACAAGATCATGACTTTATGGAGCCGGTACTTGGATAGCTAGTAGCGTTGGTATATGTTGACAATCGAAGGATTGGTGCTTATGGTTGCAGTGCATTAGCATAATATCACCTTGGATTACGGCATATTACCGCCAATTCGGACTACTCGAATCTATTGACCGCAATAGGTAGCATGCCTAGTCCTTTTGGGCGGTTGTATCTAACCGACTGTATAAATACTATCATGTGATTGATACATAGAATGTCCGAAGATCTATTATTGTCTTTCCTGTCATAGAATAGCTGCATGGTGGTTTTGTGGGGGGATGGAGAGGTCTGTAGGAATTAGATCAATGGATAGGTAGTTACCTCCTATGTGTTGCGTCTTCCTAAGATGTTAATAATTTTGTCATTAATGATATAATACACTCAAAACAACATCATACATACGTACATGAAGCCGTCATATTAGTTATCTCCCAATTGCCTTCGCTACTATGAGTACTATTGAAAGCTTATATACTGTTTATTACGGGCTTGTTCTCGTTATATGTGCTATCTGTCTAATTCTCGTAGAGTTCTTGAGACCTGTTGACTCGAAATTCCTATTCCGCTCAAAACGATGGAAAATGCCTCCGGGGCCGCCAGGCCAACCGATCGTGGGCAATCTATTGCAAATGTTTCAAGCTCGACGAAATCCTCGTGCTTTCAATGAATGGGTAAGTGCAGACATTACTAGGTCATGGCGATGTATTTCTTAAGTGTCTAACTACTATAGCTCGCTTCCTTGGGACCTTACGGCGAGATGGCGACGCTCCACATGGGCTCTCAGACGTGGGTTGTTCTCAACTCGGAACGTGTGGTCTCCGAGCTTATAGCCAAGCGCGGAAAGATCACAAATGAGAGACCCCATATGCCCGTTTCTAGCGATCTCGTTAGCAATGGGAAACGTACCGTGATTAGACAGGAAGCAGAGTGGAGGGAAGGGCGCCGAGTGATGCACCAATTGCTCAGCGGTTCAAACCTCAAAGTGTACGCGGACATGCAAGAGCTCGAAAGCATCAACCTCCTTCGCCTCTATCTTCGACAGCCAGACCTATGGTTTGCTCATAACTTTCGCTATTCCACATCGGTGTTGTATAGGATCGTCATGGGTTATCCTCTCAACAAACCGAAGGATCAGCTCGATGATTACCAGAGAGTAACGATAGAGTTCGTGAGGAGCATCAACCAGAGCTTTGTGGACTTCTTCCCATCCTTTAGTAAACTCCCCCATTTCCTACAGCCATGGCGAAAATACTGGGCTGATATGGGCGCGTTTCACCGCCACGTCTTCCAAGAATGGTGGGAGCCCATTCGAACCGCCGTGGGCAACGGGTCCGCACCGGCATCTTTTGTCCGCGATGTCCTCCTTCATCCGGATATAAAATTTGCTGGCAGCGATGAAGAGGCCATGTATCTAGCCACATCCGTCATGGCAGCAGGTGGAGACAACACCCGTATGGGCATCAACACGTTTATCATGGCTATGATATCGCGACCCGGGGCGCAGAAACGCGCACAGGCAGAAGTAGACCGGGTCTGCACGAACGGCAAGACGCTCAGACTTCCCCAGATGACAGATCTACCCGAGATGCCATATATAGCAGCAATGATCAAGGAAGTTCTACGCTGGCGACCGACTGTTCCGGTTATCCCGCCCCACCAACTTACGGAGGATCTCGACTTTGATGGATATCGCATTCCTGCCGGCACCAGCTTCTTGATCAACTCAATCGCGTTATCTAACGAGTTCGACGACCCGAACGAATTCCAACCGGAAAGATGGATTGACGGTTCAGAATCGAACGCTACAGCCAACTTCTGGGGATTTGGTGGAGGTCGCCGAATATGCGTAGGCTGGAAAGTTGCTCAGCAAGCTCTATTTGTTGCATTTGCCCGTTTGATATATTGTTTCGACTTGACTCCAGTTCGTATACCCCTAACACTAAAACTAGATGTTACCTGCCTACTAACATGTAAAACCCCTAGAATGGTCCCATCGACGATAGGAAACTTAACCACCAAACCGTTGATGAACCATTCCCCGTCAAGGCTACGATCCGCAGTGCCGAGCATGCACTGCTCATTGAGGGGGAAGCATCCAAATACGAGACGCAATTTTCTACATTTTAATAGCTGCTCGATAGAACCTCATTAAACATATAGAATCAAGCTAGCAACCCTACCTAAGACTCCTGTGACCATGCATCCTCACCCCTCCCCTTCGCTTCAAAACAGGGCCCAAACACGCCCAGCGATCTCCGCATCAAGAAAACGCCCATCGGCGCGATATAAAAATGCCTATTGCGCGTCAGCGGCGCTAACCGTATGATCTTTTTCTAAATGGGTGCGTTAGGGTGTAGTTAAAACTAGATGTGGCTGGAAGGATCAAGTTGCATGAACCTCACATCAACCAACAACTACATGTAGGTGGTACCTAGCTACCCAAAGTACTAGGGTATTTGCGCATATGCCAGACCAACAACATCATCCCGACAACTCTGATGAAGAATTAATCTGCCGCTTCCCGCCGTTGCTCGTGGGCATGTTGTATATAGGATCGATAGTGGAGTAGAGGAATCTCCTATTCTTAAACGTGCATCCTAAGGAGGCTGGGTTGAGTCCATAATATATTGCGTTTTGGTTCACGTGTTGGTGAGTGTGGATATTTGGCGGTTTAAATGCAACAAAACTTCACCTATTTCGTGTTAATGTGATTGAATTTTCTTATCACAACATACCAAGCACTTGTACGACATACATATAGGTGCTATGTATCTTCCCGAAGTGTAGAGCGTCCTAGCCAATAGAAATTAGCCTAGGCTTGGCATATACCCAATGAGGAAGGCTACTCTAGATTTGAGCCAATCAGAGCCTTGGTAGCCTAAAGAGGATTTCCCTTTTATGTTGTTGGTGCTGCTGAAGATTCCTTGTTGGTATTGATCATCCCGAAGCTTTCTGTTGGTTGATTTATACGCCGTTCGGACTGTAGACGTATTTCCTTGCATCATCAATGTTCCCTGCAACCGCATCTCGTTCCTTGTACCATACAACACTTTTGAATGGGTGGCAAGGGTCATATGTTATATGCAGGTCATCAATTATTGTCAGTACTAAGTAGGTATGTATGGCTTGACTTACGACGGAAGATAGGACATTTACCAAGCTAAACAACATTTCGCTTAACCCGACTTTTGGAGATATTTCTTAGGTCTCGTTGCTTGTATAGGAAGAATACGTATAATCGAATTAAATTTATGTATGTGTCTTTTGTGCAAAATCGTAGTATTAGTGAGTCCTTAGGTAGTATAGGTTCGAAGATTCAAAGCTGTGGGAATACCCCTTAACCAGGTGCTACTCCTGCTAGCTTTTTTCAGTCAATGCCGCTATATTTACATTTTTTTACCCTACCTAGTAGCCTATACTGAATTTCTCAGAACCTTATCTTATTAAATAACCAGGTACAATAGTCAGTTTACAAACAGTTTCAAATGGCCATATCAAGTCCATGTCTATCTTGGTTCAATTTGAGTAAATGAAGTCGTTTGAATAGAGTTGATTAATGCCCTATGTGCAGGGGAAATGCACCTGCACACCTAACCATGGTAGACATCATTATACCAATGAATAATATATTTGCTATCGCGATCCCAGCGGGGGCTACTGATGTGTCACCTTATCCCTCGATCGGGCTACTAGTGTTTGGCCATAAACAGCCCCCTTTCTAGGTACTTCGGAGTTTTCATAGGGTTGTCTCATCTAGCTCCGCTTCAACCAAACTCTCCTGACCAAATTCATAGCTGTAGATCTTGACAATATTGAACCCCGCTTTCTTTAGTAACTTAGTCAAGTGTGCTTCCGTCCGCTCCTGTATAGCGGCAAGCACAAGCATTAGCTGATCCATGGACGTGATCGGCCACGTGGGGTTCTGTCGAGGCACCACGATCTCGTTCAGAAGCAATCTGGAGTATCCCGGCTTCATAGCAGGCTTCAACTGCTGTAAGATCTTTATGCAGTCATCGTCTCCCCAATTATGAAGAATAGAGTGGAGATAATACGCACGGGCGTTCTTGATCGGCTGGGTAGTGAAGAAATCGTGGGAGACCGCTTCGAAGCTGTCATCGGAAGCGGTGGAGATGACTGCCGGCCGATCCTGCAAGATAAGCTTGCCGGGAATCTGGGGATATTTCGCCTTCAACTCATGCAAGTCATGGCCCTTACCCCCACCGATGTCTACGAGGAAAACATTGCTGTAATCAGAGTTGAAACCCTCGATGAGTCGATCAGACACGGGATAAAATCCGGGGTCAACCCATGATGGCTTCCCGAGCCTGTAAGCTGACATGTAGTTATTGAAGGCCTGGAGGTAGGGGGGAGTTTTGTCCAACCAAGCGAAGGATGATAACTCCGTTTTATGTGCTGCTTGAAATGGTCCATCTGTTACACTTGTTGGCAGTGTATAACCCGTGTTCTTGAGATACTCGGGTAAGTGACGAAATGATACACCGGCAACATCGTAGCTATAATAAATGCTTAGAATACCGTGAATGATGCGAGTGGCTATTCATCATGGAGCAAAGAAGGTTAATGTGATATCCGAGTGTTACTGACAGGAATATAATGCCATCCCTATATCTAGGCTCTGAAAGAGCTTCGGCTAATGGGGTAGTAGAGTATGTATCCTCACTTTTCTCACTGACTACATTCATAGCAGCAAGATGCCTCATGGTCCGTGCTAGTAAGTTATGTCGAGTTAGCTGTTTTCATTCCTTATATTAGATGATGCGGCCTGGTTTACAAATTAAGACATCGTCTGCGCTGCACTTTGCTGCCAGCTCCTTAGCAGTGATGCCAGCTTCGCCACTTTGGTTCAAGTATTCGAATATCTTGAGATCAACTGCAGTGCGGCAATTGGCCGCTCTAGCTGGCTAAGACCTGTATTAGTAATGTTCGAGCTCGTTCTAGGCTATCCCGAACTTACTTCAGCCCATCCCATTCGCATTATCGCCTCGCTGGGTAACTCTAAGC